TCATTTAAATTTCATTTTTTTTCACCGTTCTCAAACAAAATATTAACTTTAATCAGAAACATTGGTCACTTGTGATTTTGAATCTGCTGTTACTAATTTATTCATACACACAAACACACACAAACACTTGTCAGGTCTCTGGCTATTGTGGCAGACAGATGCCAATGGTATTTCTTACTAAACAAATGTATTGTGCCATACCCATACTGTCAGAGTCTGAAATGTCCTTCCACTTTGTCAACTTTACCATTATTTGGCTGTGATGACAGCATGGTGATATCTGAATGTATTTGATACCACTACACTTGTATGAACCTGCTTATTCCTTTTATAAATCACCCCTGTTCTAAAGTCCAATTGAATGCTAATGCAAAACAGAAGTGTGTGTGTGACATTATAATAAACTCTGAAAAAGGAAACCATTCCTATAATATAGTACATCAAATTATTAAGAAGCAAATATTTTAGATTTATATTGTGGGAGGAAAATTCAGTGCGCTTGCGTACACAGCAGGGTGTTCAGGGAACCACCGTTCCTGTTGGATAAAAACGTTTTACTACGTTTTGTCGGCGCTGAACTCGCCCCAGGTTGATCTGGCTGGTTGGTCAACAACACAGCATTGGTGAGACTGAAACGGAAAGGGTAGATACGTATTGGACACTGATCCTCGTCTTGATCGTCCTCGTCCACAAGACGATTGCGTTTCGCCACAACAGGAGTGTTCAGTCTCACCAATGCTGCGTTGTTGAGGCGTTTTGCAGTCGTGTTGTGTTGAAATACTGTCATGTTGTTGTGTTTCCCAGGAATCCTGGGAAATAAATCTGCGAGTTTTGCAAGTGATGCGATATTTTCGCCTCTCTCATTCACTGTGCAAGACGGGTCAGGTCACAGATATAAAGACATGTAGAGAGAGAGGAGATTATGGCTCTTGTTGCCAGATTGACTCTTGTCAAATTTGTATTCCCTTCATGTTACAGAGAGTTAAATGTGGATTGAAATATGAAAAATAGTAATATATAAAATACAATAAAAAATATTTACAGATATTATATATATTTATTAAAATATAAAAATAGTAATACATAAAAATAGAATAAAAAAATAGAAACATATTTACAGATATATATACTTATTAAAATATAAAAAATAGTAATACATAAAAATAGAATACAAAAATAGAAATATATTTACAGATATATAACCTTATTAAAATATAAAAAAATAGTAATGTATAAAAGAATAAAAAAATAGAAAATATTTACAGATATATATACTTATTAAAATATAAAAAATAGTAATGTATAAAAATAGAATAAAAAAATAGAAAAATATTTACAGATATTATACAATCATAAAAACTAATAAAATAGTAATATAATAAAATAAAAATATATACAGATTTTTAGATACACTTTCACGTTCCAATATTTGTGCTCTCTCTTTCACTGGGTAAGACAGTTTGAGGTACAGAAGACTTGTGGAGATAGCAAGTAGAAGGCTTAACCCTCTTTGTCCTCATTGTCACTCACATGTCATTATATAGGCCAGGTACGCAATGCTTAAATCCAAAAGTTTGCTCTGGAAAAAGCAGAAGCAATTCTTGCGGCTCTAGAAAAATCACCTGCAGCATACCTGTCAAATATCCAAGAAGTAGTGAGGACAGAACCACCCAAAACTACAAACAGCTTGAATTCGTAATCGTCTAATAATTTTTGGCAAGCCCTGTAGATACGTAGTTTGATATCTTCTGTCATTGTCCGAAGAGCATCTGCAATTATTGCTGGGGAAGTGTGGTCGTGATGACTCTTGTGAATCACACGGTAATTACGTGCGGAGAGGTCATCCTGCTCTTGTTTGTTTTGCTCGGATACACTACCCCGACAGTCCATGCCAGTGGAGTGGCAGCCATTTCTCGGATCCAGCAACCTGGGATTACTGCAGGTTTGGTCCTCAAAGTCTGTCTGGACTTGTGGCGTTACTACACGGTAAGTGCGTGCAGAGAGGTCATCCTGCTCTTGTTTGTTTTGCTCTGTTTCATCAACTAACCAGTCCAAGTTTAGGGAGTGGCGGCTATTTCTCAGATCCAGCAACCTGGGATTACTGCAGGTTTGGTCCTCAAAGTCTGTCTGGACTTGTGGCGTTACTACACGGTAAGTGCGTGCAGAGGGGTCATCCTGCTCTTGTCTGTTTTGCTCTGTGTCATCAACTAACCAGTCCAAGTTTAGGGAGTGGTGGCCATTTCTTGGATCCAGCAACCTGGGATTACTGCAGGTTTGGTCCTCAAAGTCTGTCTGGACTTGTGGCGTTACTACACGGTAAGTGCGTGCAGAGGGGTCATCCTGCTCTTGTTGAATTTGTTCTGTTTCATCAACTAACCAGTCCAAGTTTATGGAGTGGCGGCCATTTCTCAGACCCAGCAACCTGGGCTTACTGCAGGTTTGGTCCTCAAAGTCTGTCTGGACTTGTGGTGGTACTGCAGGGCAAAAAAATACAGAGAGGTCATCCTGCTCTTGTTTGTTTTGCTCTGTTTCATCAACTAACCAGTCCAAGTTTATGGAGTGGCAGCCATTTCTCAGATCCAGTAACCTGGGATTACTGCAGGTTTGGTCCTCAAAGTCTGTCTGGACTTGTGGCGTTACTACACGGTAAGTGCGTGCAGAGGGGTCATCCTGCTCTTGTTGAATTTGCTCTGTTTCATCAACTAACCAGTCCAAGTTTATGGAGTGGCAGCCATTTCTCAGATCCAGCAACCTGGGATTACTGCAGGTTTGGTCCTCAAAGTCTGTCTGGACTTGTGGTGGTACTGCAGGGCAAAAAAATACAGAGGGGTCATCCTGCTCTTGTTTGTTTTGCTCTGTTTCATCAACTAACCAGTCCAAGTTTAGGGAGTGGCAGCCATTTCTCAGACCCAGCAACCTGGGATTACTGCAGGTTTGGTCCTCAAAGTCTGTCTGGACTTGTGGCGTTACTACACGGTAAGTGCGTGCAGAGGGGTCATCCTGCTCTTGTTTGTTTTGCTCTGTGTCATCAACTAACCAGTCCAAGTTTAGGGAGTGGCGGCCATTTCGTGGATCCAGCAACCTGGGATTACTGCAGGTTTGGTCCTCAAAGTCTGTCTGGACTTGTGGCGTTACTGCACGGTAAGTGCGTGCAGAGGGGTCATCCTGCTCTTGTTGAATTTGCTCTGTTTCATCAACTAACCAGTCCAAGTTTACGGAGTGGCGGCCATTTCTTGGATCCAGCAACCTGGGATTACTGCAGGTTTGGTCCTCAAAGTCTGTCTGGACGATGGATCCATAGATGATGGTTTTCTCGTCTGGTGCTGGTACAGGAGGTGATTCGTGGATCACAGGTTCTGCTGGGTTAATCCTGGGTGTACTGGGTTGATTATGGCTCAGTACAGAGCTGATGAGATGTCCAGCAGTTCTGGCGACCCAAGGAAGCACAACAAGACCTAGAGCTAATACTGGCATGTCAGTAGATAGTGGGATTAACTAGATAAAATGGTATTTCTCCTGATATTTAGTTGCAAAGTTTTACAGTTCTCTGCACAAAGTATTTCTTCTGATATGTTGTTGTCTGGTTTTACAATTCTCTGCAGAAAGTGTGAGATATCTGATCGATTCTGACGCGTTTGGTCTCAGTAAAGAGTGACGTAACAAAAAAAAGAAGCAGGAGTGACGTCAGGAGTGTTCCATGTTTTTTTTAAAAATACTAACGGCTGGATTTTGAAAGGATCCAACAGAGAAACTCCCTTCTGGGCTCCTTCTAAAGCCACGCCCCCAAAATACGTGAACGCACGTTGCCGTTGCAGCTGGAGGACCAGCGAAGAGGAGCGCAGTGCAGCCGCTCACATCAGGTGTAAGAAAACGTGTAACCTTATCATTATGAAATGAAACAACTAACCGTGGTGTTAGTACTCACTGTCTATCTAGCATGTTAATATTGGACAGGTTTAAAAGACCGAGTTTTGATCAGTAACGCGCTGGCTAGTTAACTGTTAGCAACAGGTAACTTAGCTGTGCTAACAGCTTCGCTAACATTGGGCAAAGCTAAAAACAGGCTGATCCACATTTTCCCGTTACACGAACGTGATTTCGTGTTTGACTCCCAACATGGACGTTGTTTTGCATGTCAGAGCTTCCACGGTGACAGCATTATTGTCTCTGAGGACTGCACTCCAGAGCCAAGCACAGACCAGGAGAGGACCGGGGTCGAGGCGCAGAGGTGGGAGGTCCGAGGAAGAACAGGCAGGACGGAGAGGACGAGGTGCAAGTTAAGCAGCACATTTTCTAGGACCTGAGTCGAGCTTCACACTCCAACAACGGCATATGAACAGGTGTGTGTGTGTATATATATATATTTTAATATTAGTACATTATTTCCCAGTGTACTTCTGTCAAAGTTTCTCTGGTGTTTCCCCCCTTAAGCCCTTTGGCAGTCAAAAGTGCTATATAAATATAATCCACTATTGTTATTACTTTTTATTTATTTATTATTTTTTACTGATTACACCAACACTAACTACAGCTCTGCTTCAGCCATTGGCTCATCTGTGTTATGTCCACTGACGTGAATGGAACAAGTGTCTGTGTTTATTGCAGCCCTGAGAGGACTACAGACACCTGGTTTTTATACTCTCTATTTAATATGTGTTGGTGTATAAGACAAAAAGTGTTTTAGAAACAACTTGCTTACCTTGCCTTTACCTGGTGAAGTTATGTGGAAAGCAATAATGGTACATATTATATATGCAATGCACTAGATGAGGTTAGCAACTGCTCAGCGTTGGCCACATAGCTAGCGTAACTATCCATGTTTTCCCAGATTTTCTGATGTTGACTGTTTTCACTGACATTATCTGAATCTCGTTGGCCTGACAGTCTTCATCACATAAACCTTTATTGCTGTTTTTATCCTTACTTAGAGTTTATGTTGGAGTCTTGCTTTGTGCCGTGAGCTGGTTGTTTTGTTAGAAGACTGCATTTCATTAGCTGGGGTGTTTTGTCACTGTGGTCTGCAGGACCCGCATCCTGATCCATTGCCTTTGCATTAAAAGCAGAATAGTGGCTGTTCCAAGCAACAGAGAAAACAGGCGTGTGCTTTATTTCTAACTGAGGTTTGAGCCTATTGACAATAAGGCAGTAAAAATTAGATTTATTAGTGATTTCATTGAAAAACTAGATATAGCCCCTTTAAAACAGAATATGGAAGGTATTTCTGTACTGGCATGGCAGTGCAAGAATGTGAGTAAAGTTATAAATTATGATCAAGTCTGATTTATGAAGTTTGCTTTTTATTTATTTATGAAGGAACGCTGTAGGAAGCAGAATAGTTTGGATGTCTGCATTTTATCAGTGGTCTGTAGTTCAAGACTCCATCAATCTTGTAGTTGATGAGACAATATCAGAAACAATATGTTCTGCACATCTAAAGAATGTGACGACCATATTTTGTACAACAGTTGATAATAACTTCAAAGGCTCAGTTTAGATGGAGGCTGGCTGCAGGTGTTCAAGAGCCTGAACATCTTGTCTGTCTGCAGACAGTTTTTGTATTGACTTGAGGGGAATCTGCAGCACTGTGCTGACTGGCAGCACAGAAATACACACCCCTGTCATTTAATGAAACATTTGAAACAGTGAGGCTTGACTCTTTACGGCCGTCTCCATCAAAGCTGATTTTTCCTTTCACGTCGTCCTCGGGGTATAGGGAGTCCAGATTCAGATATCCCAGGAACTTTAGCGCTTTGTTTTCTTCTTGTTTGTACCAGAGAATGACTTGAAAATTTGTTATGCTGTGTGAACATTTGATCTCACTGGCAACAGATTCATAATTTCTCTTAATGATGAAAGGAGGTTTTTGGACAACAGTGTAGGCATTTGAGGCACCTGTAGAAAAAGAACAGATATTATTTCAAATACTGAAATAATTAGCTGTACAGCATCTTACTCTGTCTGAAATACTCACCCTTATTCCCTGGCAGATGAAGGAAACACAATATAAAGACCTTAAACATTGTGTTAAAGAAGTTTAAATGTTATATTTTTCTGGTCCTTTCAGCTCAGTAAAAACCTGTAATAAAAACATTTAGAATAAGAGCAAAATATGTGAAACAATCTTAAAGCTGCATTAGGTAACACATGAACATACACAATACAAATCCTTCTGTGCCTTTCTCTGCTGCTCGTATCACTCCGCTGTGCACAAGCAGTAATTGACACTTTTTTCGAGACTCCTCCCGGCTGTGATTGGTTGTTTTCGTTTAGGTGAGGTGGATTTTTGAAAATGCTGTCAGGAGCACTTGGAAACAGAGGAACCGGATGTTTCAGGATTTAGTTGCAGTTTCAGCAAATATGCCAAGAAGTTATTTTAATAAAAGCTGTCCATTGAACGTTTATCTTTAGATGTGTTGTCATGGATTTTCAATGAGTTGACCACTTTTAAACCATTGCCACTTTCTGCTGTAATCCCTAAAATAAGGGTAGTTGCAGACTGTAATGCAGTGTTATTACTTCCTGTACCTTACCTTTTAAGTGAAACTGAAATAAGAATAAGATGAAGAGGCTGTGTTTAATAATGTCCATGTTCTGAAGGTTGAAGTCTGAACTTCCAGTGTTGTCACAGAGATGTGAAGAGTTGCAGGTGGGAGTGTCAGTACCTTCTGGGACTTTCTTTGATCCTGTAAACTGTTGTATCTAAACCCACATGGTGAATCAAAGTGTAACTGGGAGTATATGTGGTCCTTGAGGTCCCCCTACAGTACATGAGAGATAATGAATTTTGGTAACAGTTATGCTGCTGCATTGGTGTCCTAGGGTTTTTGTTAAGCTATTGTGTGCATCTGTATCACTGTGTCGACTCACAGCACAGAAGTACAAGCCTTTGTCTTCTGCCACCAGATTCTTCACAGTGAATGTCCCACTGTGAGCGTCAGGCTTGGTGGCTGAGAATTTCTCTTTGCTAAATTCTCCAAAGTCGTGATTCATGTTGGTGCTTATTGTGTACACTATTTGTTGCATTGTTTTTCCTGGCAGCTGTCTGTACCAGTACATCTGGTAGAATAAATCACCCTTGGTATGTCTGCAGTGTATAGTTGCATTGTCACCCTCGTCTTTCCACAGTGAAGAGATCTGGGTTACATCATTGGCAGCAATTAGATCTGTGTGTAAAGCAGTACAGGTCACAGTTAATCTTTGGGATTTTTGGAACATTTTTGGAACATTTCCAAAATGACAAAATCAGGATTCACAGTTGATTTAATCATAAATTACCTGTAATCCACAGCAAGAAGACTGACAATCTGAAGAAGCCTCGTTTGGTGATAGTAATAAAATCCATGATCTGTCTGACAGAAACAGCCAGAGTGTGTCTCTCTCTAAGTACAGAGAGATAAAGATGTGCAGGTGGGAGTGTCACTGAACTGTGTGATGTGATTTTGTGAACTGCTCTGTACAAACCTACAGTCATTCAAGTTGTACTAGAGGTCCCCCTGCAGTACGTCACTGCCCTGTAGATTGCCTGTACTTCATATCAGTAACACTTACGAGCTAAAGATGCCAGATTTGTTGACAAAAACAGAAGATGGACAATCATCTTTCCTTTCTAAGCAGTGAAGAAAAAATTATAACATGCATCAAAGATGATTTTAAAATTCTCCATAGCGATATTATAAACCTGAAATCGACTGCATGGGGCAGACAGTTTTAGATCCAACACTCTTTAGTCCACTCAACTTTTAATTCTATTATTCTTGTTAGGGCTGATCAGTTAATCGAAATCTTATTTAAAGTGAGGAGGTACAATAATTGTTAAAGGCAAAATTTGCGGCCCTTTTAAATTAAATATCTTGCGGCACAGATGCCCCGGCCTACACATCATTAAGAAAACATCTTTGATTCGTACAGATCTTTGCAAAAAACATATATATTTTTCAATGAAAATAAGAATAATTCCCTCCGATATTGCAAATCATATCGCAATAGCAATATCAGTCAAAATAACCACAATCAGATATTTTTCTTTCTTTCATTCAAAAGACTGTAGATTCAGAGGAGGTCAAAATTGTGTCATAACAGCTGATAAAATCGTCGAAGGCTTTGTTTATGTGGGCTGGCTGCAGGTGTTCAGGATACTTAAAAACTTGTTTGACAGATAAAAGAGAGTTTTTGTATTGACTTGAGGGGAATCTGCAGCACTGTGCTAACTGGCAGCACAGAAATACACACCATTGTCATATACAGAAACATTAGAAATGGTGAGGCTTGACTGTTTACGGCCATCGCCTTTAAAGCTGATTTTCTCTTTCACATCGTCCTCGGGGTATGGGAAGTTTATATTCAGATAACCAAGGAGCTTTAGAGCTCTGTGATCTTGTTTGTACCAGAGAATAACATCATAATTTGTTATGTTGTGAGAACAGTTGATCCCTCTGGTAACAGATTCTCCAGGTCCCTTAATGATGAAAGGAGGTGTTTGGACAACACTGTAGGCATTAGAGGCACCTGTGGAAAAAGCAGACAAGATATTAAACACTCATGCCTGATCTTGCTCTTTTTGGATACTCCTGTGTTTCTTCTCACCCTTATTTCCTGGGAGATAAAGAAAACTAAATATAAAGACCATAGATATCATGTTAACGCTGTTTTGTTTGAGACTCTACTATCAGCCTTCCTGTCAGTTCAGCACTTGTAAATGAGAGTGCCTCATTGTTACGGTATTGTGATCAGGGGAGGTGTCAGAAGGGTCCACATCATAGTGAGGGAGATGTGTTAATGTTGTAGTCACAGGAAGTTTAGGTTGTTAGCCTCATTTCATATTTTGTGGTATGTTTCCCCCTGCTGGTTATCTCAGTAAAGGCACCACCTGAGGAAAACGTTTTGTGAAGTTAGATACTAAAAGCTTCTCAGATATTTAAAAACTATGGCTGATTAGTTATTTCAGTTCAGTGCTGCAGATTGTGTCATTATTATGTACTCTGCTCTCTTCTACAGTTACGTATCTTCAACCAGTATGTGCAATACTTAATTCATTATCAGATGTTGGCCTGTCTGTGTCGATTTTCATCAAAGACAAATAAAAACAGAACCTGGAACACTTTTTTTTTTCTCTCTTTACTTTATGATTCTGTATTATTCATTTAGTCCCGCCATGGACTGCTGTCGAGGCACTTTTAGAGGCCTTTTCGTCTTTATGATTAAACAAGTTCATATATTCAATATACTCTGTATACATAATGTCTAAGGATCAATCTATCTTCAGCCTCTTTGTCCTGAATAATAATGGGTTATCCATATAGTTTATACAGACATGTGCTGGGTATATCAGGATAAGAATGCAGAAGATGGAGCTGCCAGGCAAGAGGAGAAGAGAAAGGCCAAAGAAGAGGTTTCATGGAGTTGCCCTGTAGTTTAACAGCTCCTTTTACAGTCTGTTCCAGTAGATGGCACTGCTTTCCTACTTTTGCAGAGAGGCAAAGGAATCGAGGAATTGAGACAGATCTACTGTTTTTAAACAAATGAAATAAGGGCTCCCTCAGCCCCCTTAATCTTCCTCGCTGTTTAAATTATGTTTTTGTTCAGATCTATAACAATCAATTGATAATAATCAATGAACACATGGCAAAACATCCTTAAGACGCTGACTGAGTACAGAAGCAGGATGTGTGTCATGAGGTTTTTAGAATCTGAATTTGAATGAAGCGTACAGTCATTTTACATTTAAATTTGATTCTGCCCCCTGGTGTTTTAAAGCCCTCCCTTGTCTGATTTCCTGGCTCGTCTTCCTCCTGCGGTTTCTGCAAGTTACAGTAGATCATATTGTATGAAATATTTATTCACACAGCTGTGGTTGATTTTTCACAGACGTCTTACAAGTTTACACAGTTGAGAGATATGTGAGGTTTGTCAGACCAATAATGAACTGAGCGGCTGCTGTCTGTACAGCAGGAAACTCAAATTCAAGGAAAGATTGTTGGTCAGTGGGACTGGTCCGAGGGGGGATCAGCAACAGCTGCTGGCTTCTGCTGCCATGCAACAGCTTCTGTATTATTCAGTTTAATGTTATCAAATTTAGATACGCCATGGGATTTAACTTCCTTATTCCAATAACAATACCCACAAAACAACAACAATAATTAAATAAAATCTTAACTTCAGTCGGGATCAAAAAACTTAATTCATTTCATCATTAATTTATGTGAAAAGTCACTGAAGATCTTGGCCCACATGACTTACCAGTATGTTCATTTACACAAATTACACAATGACACATCAAGTGGTGGTGATAAACCAACGTTTCTGGAACATCTCCATAACCCCTTTTCAGCTGAACCCAATTAAACAAATGAGCAGTGTGTGCAACAAGTGTGTCTCATTTCTCTTTTTGTAAAATAGTGATGAGCTGTCTAATAAACCTCTGAAATCCTGGTTGATTTAGAGAAAACTAATCAGAATTCAGTCCCTGTAGCCTAAGCAAAGAAAATTCAGAGCCCCTCGGTGTTGCAGACCTTTTCACTGTTTTATAGTTTGTAAGCATCCCCATGTCTGCCCCTCAAAAGGCTCAATCTTTTTACAAAATAACAATACAATGATTATAAAATGCCTCAAAACATGCAGTATAAATATCAAACATTTTACACTTTCAATTATCATAATTTAAACCAAATTAACCCTTGAGGTAAAACAACAGAACACGAACATTAAGAAGGTTAAAGGGTCAGTTCACACACATTTTTGAAAGTATTTTCACTTTTGGTGCTCTTGAGCCCATAAATAATGTTTCAGGTAGATTTTGTTTTTGTTTTTTTGGTGAAAACTCTTGCCAATGAGATTTAATTCAGTAAGGGTTAAAAGGTCGATCAGGGGAAAGTGTTGAATCCAGTCTTATTGTGCAAAGGAATGCCCTCAGCTCCTCTAAACTCCTCTGCGATGTCATCAAATGTGCGACCTTTTGTCTCTGGAAGGCGAATCCAGGTGAAAGCGAAAGCAAATAGAGCTACAGTCATGAAGAGGAGGTAGACGTACGCACCGCAGATTTTCTGTGGGTGGGAGACAGACAAGGTTATAATTTTTATCGGGGTACAAAAAGAAGGCAAATACAAAAGGCATTCAAACGCATTCACACAAAATGGTTGTTTGATTTGGTTCCTTGGTCTTAGTTTCAGGTTGGCTGCCGTCTCTGTAGCACGTCTCTGTTTCCCTGGTTAACTGTTAATTTAATTAGTATTATTTCAACTTGATTTTAAATGACTTAAGATGGATTTATAAATATTACACATTAAAAGATTTATGTCTGTTTTACAGTATACTGTATACAGATTTATAGCCAGTATTTAACAGCCATGTCTCTAAGGTGCAGGGGAACTTGCAAAAGCAAACAAGAAATCCACCTCAAAAGTTTCCCCTGAAGTTTAACTCACTCATGCAGCATGCGGGCCAACAGTATAAACCCACCAGTAATGGAGGAAAGAGGAGTGCCAGAACAAACTTCCCTCCCCAGTTGAGCATGCTGGTGAAGGCCATGGCGATGGGTCTGCCAGGCTGGTCGAACAGCTCGGCAGCAATGAACCAGGAGATGGGGCCAGGGCCCAGCTCATAGGCTGAGATCAGGCAGAAGACCAGCAGGACCTGCAGGCTCCGCAGCTCTGGGACCAGGTGCTGCACAGTGGATAGACAAGGAGGGGTCAGCCATTATGGGTTTTTGGGTTTATCCATCTTGAAATGTGTGAGAACAAAAATGGGGCTGGCGTTATAACCCACGTTGCATTCTCTTAAATTTAAATAAAATTTCATGTCACCTGTTATCAAACACGTAAAACATTTCAAAAGTAGGATCATGTTTTGTCCAAATAAGTAAAAAATCATTCTCCAAAATGTCATGGTTTGTTATAACGGTAGATATTTTGTGCAAATCTTAATCGTACACGACAATAATCTTACCAGGACAGAGTCCACTATAGTCATGAGTAAGTTGCACACTGCGATGGAGATGAACCCAGTCAGGAGTAATTTCCTCCTTCCTGCCCTTTCCATCAGGAAGAACTTGAAAGGAAAAAACAACACAGTGGTGACTCTGCTCACAATTTAGAAACAAAAAACAGCTTTATCCTGTTGTGGCTCAAGCTGTTAGACCATTCATGAAATGGTCAAAACACTTTTATCTGTAATCCAAAATTTGGTGCAATTTGTAAAAAGTTTATGTTGAGCAGCCTATATGATACTGTCATCAGTTAAAACTACATATAAGGCAAGTAGGGAGCTGAAATGTAAAAATTACTAGAATTTGTACTCACTGCGACCAAAGTGAAGGTCACATTGACAGCCCCCACGCCCAGAGTCAGGTATTTTGCCTGGTCAAACTTGGCCTGAAACATTCTGGTGGAATAATTGATGATCTGGTAGAAAAGAGAAGGAGTTTCTTTAAAACTAAATAGGCTACTGGGGCATCTCTCTTTGTTTTTATAAACTGGGGTATTGCACTGACACACTGTCCTGAATCTGAGACTGAATAGTTTATTGAATAAATACCACAGGGCTGCAAGTGAAATATTTATGAGAAAGAGAGAAAATTTCCACTAAAAAGGCAGTTGCTGTCATTAGTGTAAAGATTTTCAGGTCTTCAAATTCATGCAAAAAATGTTTACCCATTGAATCTTGAAATTAAATTGCATTTCATAAGACTGACCGCATTGAATCCGGAGAGCTGACTGCCCAAGTTGATGATAAGGACAATAAGGATTGGCTGCTTGTAGCGTCGCTTCGTGAAGAACTCGTGGATGGTGACGCCGGCCTGAGTGTGGGCGGCCTCTTCCTTCATCTCTTCCAGCTCAGGAAACACCTGGTCTGCGCTGCCTCTCAGCCTCAGCAGGGCTGCAGGGTTAAAACAAAATCTTTTAAGGAGCCACGAAGCTGAGATATTGGATATTGGATTTAAAACATTTCTATGTTTTGATTCCTGGAAGTCAGCCATAAATCTAAAAGCTGATCTTCAGCTCATCTCTGATAGTAAGAAGAAACTCTCTCTATAATCGATGTAACTGCAGGACAAGCTTAATGACTAAAATGGAAATAATAATATGTGAAAGGTGCAGTTAAAACACCCACCCGCCTCTGCCTTGCTCTCCTCTCCCTGGTTGATGAGCAGGTACCGAGGGCTCTCGGGGCAGAAAGGCAGGACCAGATACTGTGTCAGGGCCGGGATTAGAGACAGGGACAGCATCATGGCCCAGTAATGCTCTGTACCCAACACCGTCTCCAGACCAGCCACCTGCAGCAAACAAATACATGTTGTTGATTGAATACTGCCCTGTACTAAGTTAGATGAAAGGTGAGATTGAAGCCGATGGTGAATCAAAGCAGGAATTGGGAAGGCCTAAATATATATATCTATCTGTATGTATTCTCAAAATAAAACTGCAACACAAATTATGCACTGAATTTCTAGTGTCAGGTAATACGGACACTTGACTGTACAGAAGGTTACAATCACATAAAACCAACAGCAATAATATTGCTCCCAATATTACATCACACTAATAACCTTACAGAGATCAAAAGATGAAAAACAAATATTGGAAACTAGACTAATTTTCATTCACAAAACAAAATAAAAAACTAAATTTGAGATGCATAAGTCTTAACAAATTTAGCTAATCTAGCCCAGCCAGCACCAACAAATGTTGACCCTCAAGTATTCGAGACAAAACTCCCAAAAGCTTTTAATTAATTAAATTACTGAATTCCTACAAACAGCTGTACCGTACCCCAGTAAAAATGAAGATTTCCAAAACTCACCATTCCCACCAGGATGCCTGAGGCGAAGGACACCTGGTTGAGTGTAGCAAAGGCCCCTCTCAGGTTTGTGGGAGACACTTCCTGGATGTAGAGCGGATTAAGACTCATCACCAGGCCGCAGAAGAGACCGAACACCAACCGCCCCAGGATGAGGACCTCAAATGACTTGCTGACTTTGGAGGCAGACATCAGACACGCTCCCACCACAGAGAGACAGTTCACTATGAGGATGGAGTTACGTCTGGAGGGGAAGACGAGAGAAAGAATATTAAATGGGATGGAAATTATAGGAAAAATAGCCTTTTCTGCCTTTTTTTTTGTTTGTTTTTTGTTTTTTTTACCTTCCATAAGAATCTGCCAGGTATTTGACTCCCAGCGAGCCCAGCAAAGCTCCAAAGTCTTTAATGCTGACCGATACTGACCACAGTAGAGTCAGGCTGTGGTCTGGCATCGACTGGTTGTGCCTGGCCCTCCAGGTGTGGTTGAAAAACTCTTCAATGATCTGAACAGAAGACAATCAGCATCAGGAAATAGTAGAAATTCAATCTAATGATGAATGGGGTGCGTCAATGTTGGGTGCAGCTTATTTAAATTAATTGTTCCTTATTAAACAGCTGTTGATGTACTTGACCAATCAAACAAGTCAGATAGCAAAAATGTATTCAGTAATCTAATTTACTTTAACTGTGTATATGACACTAACTAATCCAGACAAAATATTTTGTGAGAAAGTATCGTGAGGCACGTAGATGATACATAAGAATGCGGATTTCATTGAGGTTAAATGTGGAAGACTCACTTGCAAATATTTTGTGCAGTCTACCTGTGAGAAAGCAAAACCCTGCCAACCCAGCAGAGCCTGGCCTGGAGCCGAGCCGGAGTTTATTCTGTGTTTTCTTAAGGCTGTGAGATATTTGTTTGACGATCAGACTGTATTTCAGCATCTCGCTCTGTATGATATTTTGTTTTGTGTAAGTGTCAGCCAGGACTATGTTGTCCACTGTCTACATGATGGTAGTTTTTTGTTGCAGTTCTAAACTTCATTTTTGCTGAAGGAATATTTCTCTGAGACCGCTTGAACACTTTGTGGCTTTCTGCAAATTCTTGTAGAATGCATATGCTTTTTTTAAATATTATTTTTTTATATTTGTATTTCTTTCAGACAGATATTCTTAGTTCTGGATGGATCTTGATGCACAGTATATATACAAATAAAATTCCTGTAATGAAATTTGAGGATACTGAAAATGAAATTAGGAACTGGAGAACTAAACTCTGTAACAATCGGTATCCACCAACATAATGTCACATCTTCTCCCCTCAGCTCCCGTCTGTCTGGCTCACCTTGGCTGGAGCGTTGACGTTGCCGGTATGGTAGCCAATCTGCAGGGAGCCAAGCACCACTGCCAGGATGGAGGTCAGGAGTGAGGCTGTCAGATGGCTCTGTGTTGAGGTTAGTGACATTTATTTAGTTACCTTGTAACTTAAATTATATAATAACTGGTTAACCTTTTTCATTAAAATGTACCACGTAATTCCTGCTTATATCAAGCACATTTAAGAGTGCCTAAACTCACTGAACCCACACGGGTCTCTACAATGACTTTGTAAAGGTCACCAACGGCGGGAACCACAATATTTTCACACACTGTCAAGATGTACAGAATTTTAATTACCACAAGTGAGTGTTAGTGCTTCTTCTGTGAGACTGAGTTCATTGTAGGAAAAGGGCTAAAACAAACCTCCTGGGATGCCATTTATTTGGATATCACTCCCTCCCTCAAGAAGCTGGTGCATTTATCTTCTTCTGTCTTCGTCTGCTGTGAAAAACCCAAATAATGCCAGTATTAGAAAGTACCAGGATGTACAGCAGTGTAGGATTTATATATGATGATATTATACCATGTGATAATATAGCAACACTAATTTAGACATTATATTAAATATTGTATAAAGTTTTACTTGTTGACAAATAAGGTGTTTTTTTCCCCTTGGTGTTCATGTTCAGTTCACAAATACAATTTAAAGATCTCCCCGCAGCATTAAATCAAAACTTGCAAACCAAGTTTTTTATAGACAGTCGGTCCTTCATGCTTCAAGGCAGAATATATTTTTATGAGAGAGGATGTCACGAAATGTGTTGCATGTAGATTTTAAATCAATCAGTAACATTATATATTTGTTAACTTAATTTATTTCGTAAAACGACAACAGGCTGTTCTTGTCCAACAAAATAAACAAAAAAGTGCAAAAAAGAAGATAAAAAAAGTTTGAAATGAAATGAATGAAAGTGAAAATTTTTATATAACTTACAAGCTCTGCGTAGAGTCTACAGTTATTTTGCATTTTGAAAATTGAGGAAAAATTAAAAATGTTATTAAACTTTGTGTACCCTGGATGTCTGGAGGTTTACGTCTTATGTACCTAGTTCCATCAGTCCATTTGAAAATGGACATCACAACAGGTTAAGTGTACACAACAAGACAAGATGACGGGAAAAAGTCTCCCTCGGACAAGAGCTCTAGTAAAACCCTGATGGTAATCTTTTCTTTACCGAATGTTGCAGCATGCAGAAAAGACGTCATATCCATTATCTACATCAATATCAACATGTATATTTACATCTAGATCTATATATACTTTTCTTCGAGTTCTCACCACTGTTCCTGAGTGTCGTACGTTGATCCTGTCTTCATCCCTGAGTTTCAGATATGACTGGAAATTCTACTGCGTGAACACAGCACTACTGAAACACACACACACACACACACACACGCACACACACACACACACACACACACACACACACACACACACACACAGGACCAGTGAGTCCAGTGATGAAGTCACACTCAGCTGGTGAATTTGGGGCAGTCATGAGAGAATGGCAACCGTGGGCCTCCTCCAGTTCTCATGGACCAGCTGATCGACACTCTGAGCTATTACTGTCTGAGGATCAGTTTATCTGCTGCGTCCAAATCTCAAATGAACTCTGTTGGAAACAACACAGCTGTTCCCAGGTCAGGGCTGAAAGGCAACTCGTTTCCATTTGGAGCTCTGAGTTGTTTGCATTTTGGCAATAACACAGCCACGTGCTGTGTGTGTGTGTCTGTGAGTTGTGGGTAGCTCTGTCTGTACTGTGATGATGATCACTGAAATGAAAAATTCAACAGTGTACAAACAAGAATTTTCCATTTCTATCTCCACATTTCTTTCTAGGAATTAAGAAAAAACGGTTTCAGATTGGATCATGCACTTATTTATTCAACTAATGGAGAGATTTTTTCATTAACCCAAGACCTTTTAAGATTTTCCAAACTTATACAAGACTAGGAAATCCTTCAAACGAAGATGAAATGTGAAAACTATCAAACCTAGAAATGCCACTTTGTTACGCTGTTAAATAACCAGCTTTGTTATTACATTATTATAAATGTCTAGGTTCCTCCCACTAATATTTTTTGTAGTGTTTCCTAAAGAGTAGTTTTGCTCAGGTTGATTCATAAACCAAAAAAGCTTTCCATTTAGGGATGCCTTTACATGTAAGTCATGATGGATATCTGTGCATTGTGATAGATGCTGTATAATGTATGTAATGAATATAGTTTTTAGAGAAATTAAATTGTAACTACAGAGATAAATGTGGGTCTGGGTCAAGATTTGTTGACTAAGGTAGAGATACTGTGTGGTGCTTTCAAGGGTAGTCTTAAAAGGCAACAACCATCACACCATGCTTTGACAATTTTATAGCGTCAGGGATTTAACAGACAGGACCAGGGTGAAGTACTGTATATGTGCACGCATACACTTTCCTTCTCCTCTTACTCCACCTCCTGCAACAACAATAATATTGGCCTGCTATCTTGTTAGCCTGAAGCTCTGGATGGATTCGTAATCTTCCTATATTCCTACTTATAAAGTAAAAATCTTACTTGCATGTAAATCGTATTGGCATGTACTGTGTTTCTCTTCGTTCACTTTCCTCACATCAGTTTAATCTAATCCAGTCTTAGTGACTGAAGTATGTTTTTGTGTGTGTGCGTGTTTGCATGTTGGTATGTGCAAATACATCTCTGTGTATAGGCTATATCTGTGCACATGGCATTTCCACTAGTAAAATACTGTATAAGTGACTTCAAAATGAAATCATGATGTTTGATACACATATACACGCACACACCTGCCTCTTGAACAAATCCAAATGGGCAGTAACTTCTTTTCACTGCCGAGTTGCATGAGCCAAATAAATAAAAGTATGGAGAAGAAAGATGAACTTAATCATAATGTCCGGTGAGGAAACATTCCCCCAGCCTCTCCACAAACCACATCATTTGTGCATGAAAATATTCTTTATCATAAAACTTAAGTAAAATGTGTACAAATAAGTGGCCCCTGAGGCCTGGAGGTGATGAAAAGCAGTGCCTTGAGTTGTGTTGAAGACGGGAAAACAAAAGATCTCTCATAAAGGAAAACAGAAAAAACATGCTAGTTTCATATTTCAAATCTTTATTTCCTTATAACTTTGTGAATTATGCATTGCTGCTTTCCAAACTGCTGATAGATGCCATACTTTTTATGTAATTTTTTGCTTTTGTAATACATTTTCAGACCTTCTTCTTCTTTCAGACCTCTTATTCTTGTATTTTTTTGTCTTATTTTTCTTATATGTGGAATGTAATTTGATGGATTGTACACATGTTGCTATCAAGCATCATCTATTTAAGATTCATGTTTTAAGAATTGTTTAACACACTTGGTGGGCAGTTTGTGGGTTCTTCTTTTGTCAAATCACCTACAAGAAAATAGAATTTGTCTGTAGTCTAAAGTAAATGAGAAATTAAGTCACTTTAATTCTTTAATTGTGAACTACCGTGAAGTCACAGGACTATACACAATCTGAAGTCCCCCCCGGCACAGTGGAGCAGGTATTAGCAAAATAAAAGAGAGGAAAGAATAGTTAGCATTAGGGGGTAAAATGCGTCGTCCACCTGCAAGCTCTGTTCCTGCAGCTGAGTTCTCAATCAGCGTGTGGATACGCCTGTCTGTAAAGTGACCCCTGACCCCTGAGCCCTGGCCTCCTGGCAGGCAACCCCCTGACCCTGCTCTCAGGCTGCCGGGCAGGTGCTGCTGCAGGCGCAGAGGGCATCAGGCACAAATGGTGAGCAGTGTGCACCATCATCCCCCCACCGCTAATGTTTAGCTATCGCCCAAGCTAATGGCCCTCTCTAATTACCTTTAATGGTGTTTTTGATCCGTTTCTAAGTGTTTCAATGCACACAAAGGGGAAGAAAATACTACTCTAAATTCACACTACCAAAACACGTAGGTTAAATAATAGGTGATTGTATTGGGCTCTTAGAGATCTACTTCTACAGCCCGTAAGAGTCTTTTATATGTAGACATGCCGAATAAGAATATTTTAGTAATTTTTACAAGGGTAAACCATTTTTAGGAGGAAACTCCATTTGTACCATCACATTACTCACACATTGGGTAGGTGAGTAGCGCAAACTGTTAGAAAACACAATTTAAGAACTTTGACAAAACATCTTGCAGCACCTGTGCTGCCCACACGTCACTTTCAAAGCCCAAAATTCCAGTCCTCACCTATGAAACCCCTTTGGCAACCCTCCACCCCACCTTCAACAAAGGAGAAAACACACACTCTCTAAAACACACACACACACACACACACATCCCTAAGCAGCTGCGTCATTATAAAACTCTTTTGAACTTCACACTGGAAGTCAAATGCCACATGTGTCAGTACAAGACAGATGTACTGCAGCTGCTTCTTGGCTTCAATTTCATCTGTGATACAACCCCCTCTCCCCTCCCTTCCTCCCCCATTTCAAAACCACCCCCATCACCAGCGGCCTCACCCCGAAGCCCACCGCCTCCCATCCGCACCTTTTGAAGTCTCATCACTAAATCAGAGTATCTCACACCACACATAAATCAACAGGCCAAACAGAGTGCATCTTTGAAGTCAAGTTTAAGCATTCAAACAAGGAGACAATTCATCTTGATTATTTTTTATTAACTAGAACCCGTTTAGTCACTTTAATTGATACCTGCCAATTTCTTAATCTAGTTTTTATGCTATACCAAATGAATTACACATTCATAAGTCTACAGTAAAATTAAGAAAATTGCAAGCAATAATTCCTCACATTTGTCAAGTCATGAAATTCAGTTGGCTCTGTTGATACTGTGTAGTTAGTTTAAAATCCTTGTGCATACCTGGCTAACAGGGTTCAGTGTGTGAATTTGCAAACTGCAGTGAACCGTCTCTACCAGTAGGGGTCAGTATTGAACTCCTCCCGACCAGACAACTTTTCCAAAGCACAAGAGGGATACTAAGTCCAAACTATGCATACTTTGAATAGATCTGGTATAAAACAGTTTCAGGATCAATGCTGTATTGTTGCTTTTGTGGCATTATTGTACCACATGCTCAAGTGCAACTACGGTGGCTTAAGACAAGTGGAAACAGACGAGTAACATTGTAGTTCTGGAGAAGAAAAATCTAACATTGTTTCTATTTTTGAATTAACAAGCTTTTAAAAATGCTTTAACTTTTATGGTCATGTCAACTTCAACAGTCTAAACACTTGCAAACTAGAGCAAAGTAGCCCTGTAGTGTGTGCACTTTTATTCTCTTCATATGCCTCTGCAAGAGATAAATGCAACACTGACAGCTTTATGTGAGATTTTGGTGCCCTGGTAGCAACTCTTTAGTGTGTCACGCCTTTGAGGTGTTAAGAAAGAAATAACTTGCATGTTTGTTTCTCAGTTGTTCTGAATGTAGGGCATCTGCAGACCTTTTTCTCATTACGGCTGCTTTAAATTTATGTCACAGTTCAAGTGGGGAAAAAAACACAAACTACCCAGAAAAGTGATACAGCTACTGTTGTGTGCCAAGATGCACTTAATCAACTGTAGTATTTGTCAGTGCAGTTTTCCCTCTAAAAAAAGACTTTCTTTTCTTTTTGGTCCTCTCTGTTATTTAGTCTTTTATGTCTCTATTGTGACACAGGTTCAAATAGCCAAGGAAATAAGGCCAATATTAAAGTGGAGACTGAATTCTCGTTTTCATTGCTTAGCCAAACAGCTGCACCTCAAGCCACATAATTTACATTGACTAGTTTCACCCAAAGTCAACACGTCTCAGTGTTTTGTTTTCCAACAGATCTGATTTCTTCGGCTATGAATAAGAAATATTGTCAAAACATTTTGAGATGGTCTCGACAAGCCTGTGGGGGCTTTGGATTTGAAAAGTGGCTGGTGAGCAGCGAGACAATCCGGGCTTCTCTCTGTCAGACTGACAGTCATGTCTAAGCCTTCTTCACTATACGTTCCCCTTTGTGATTAGCAGTGATTACTGGCCTGTTAGGTTGTTTTAGATCTCTCATATGATCTGCAGCTCTGCAAAGTCTGGAAGCACTTCAGCAGACACACAAGACCAGTGTTCAAACCTGGACTGAAGCAGGCATTCAGAAGAGATTTCACGGCCGTCTAAGAAAGTGAAGTTTCTTTTCTCATTCTTGGCATGACCTTCCAGTTCAAATTAGACCCCACTGGACTTGTGATTATAGTGGATTAAGCACTAGATACTGTATACATTCTTGACTGTGTATAGCGATGATGGCAGGAATTGTAAAACACAAGCTGAAACAGTCAAATAACCCCCCGCAGATAAAATAAACAGTGCTCAGAGCTGATAACATCCAGTCTGGTCTAAGCATTTCAATGTTGTGAATTAGCTACTTGTAATAGCCTAATGTTTGACATGATGTAAACACAGTGAAATGTGTTTATATATATTTTACAATATGCCAGAATGACAGTGAAGCAAGTGAACACCCATATGCTGCACAATGAAATTTGGGAAAACAAATAAAGGTTATTGTACATATTTACAATAGGAGCCTTTTTCTCTCTCCTGTTCATGAGCCTGTGTAGTGAATCTTGAGAATATGCTTAAATGCACAACTCAAGAAACACACAAGCATTCAGACCACAATAGCAACTTCTGATTCTCCAATTTGAAAACCCAATTGTTCCAAAATGTGAAGAAGAATTTAAATTTTTTACATTCCAAAACTTCTTTTCCTAGTGTTTTTCCACCATGCTCTGTAATATCCCTGTTAATCGTTCACCCTTGGGGGACGTTTTACTTACTACATTGTCTTACATAAGGTGACAAAACTCCGAGTATGTGTGGTGTAAGTGTTTCACAGAGTAAGACTGATATCAACTGTTGGAGGACAGACAATGAATGTGTTTACATACACAAAATGTACTCTGATATTCCTGTGGAGACTCAAATATTTATTTAAAGAACTGGCATTTGTGAACACCAATTCTTGTTTACAATAACTGGGATAAACGTGAATATGACAGCTGAAATTAGCTGATGTTAACGGCATACTGAGCCATGTAAACATTTTACTACATTTACTGGTTAGGTTTAGTCATCTGTGCCACTTTTTTTTCTCCTGGCACCATTAAGAATATTTAAAACAAAATTTCTGGACTGTGATCTGTTTTGGAAAAATGAAATCCCCACCAGGGGGTCTTTGTCAGAGATTTGTTGATTTGTAACCACAGCCAGTAGAGCCTGATGAACCCATGAGCATGCGGAATTCACCATTAACATACTGGAAATGCCAGACTCTTCAGCTGTTTTTTGGGTTTGATTGTGTAGAAAATGAAAATTACAGTAATAAAACAGCTAGATTGAGTTGTAACTTTATATAAAATTACACTTAGAACCATATCGTGACACAAGATATATGTAAACCAATGGCCTCCGTTGTGGTTTGGACTTAAAGCTGCATTTATTGAATATTTTTAATATCTCAACATTAAATCAAATGGATTGTGAAAGAGATCTCTCATACAGACGTACCCTCAGAAGTATCACCCAAATCTGCCGCTCTTCTGACTCATTGTTTTTATGGCACATTCACAATTTAGTTTGGTCTCAGCGCACTCATGAAGCTGTTTACAGCAAATTGGCTATGATAACCCACCTATATACTACCAGCCCAGCACCAAACACCAGACAGACAAACAGAAAGTAAGCAACTGGCTGAATATAGTGGAGCGTTTAGCAGCTAAAGAAATCAGATAGTTCCCCAGGAGTTGGCTGAGACCAAAACAGAGCTAAAAAGAGAGGAAATATGGGATGATAATGTTGCTCCATGTTCGCTACATCTGTAAGGAAGCAATTCATTGCTAACATTTAGCCATAACAATATCGTTCGGGGTCGTCTGTGTCTAGTTTTGGAATGGCTCTGCCCTCTAGTGGTCAACAATTCATTAATGCAGCTTTAATATGTTAATAATGCCACATTTATGTAGAAATGTTTTTCCTGCTGTGTGCTACAGTGTTGAGCTGCGTTAGTATACTGCTAAGACTGTGTATGCACTGTACCAGTGTTGGGGGGGGTGCATGACATACCTCTGTTATTACAAATAATGGCTGCACAATATTTCAGTTCTTACAATCTGTTACTATTGGCTTTTGAAATGTTTCTTTTTCTGAAATGTTTATTACAAGTTTTATTAGCACAAACTTTGTAAAAAAAAAAAAAAAAAAACAATTGTAGAAAACAATGAACCCCTCAAGGAATCTTCTGTAGACATGTTGATAACTGAGAAAACTACATACAACAAAATGGTTTTGGGTTGCACAGAAAGTACACTTTTATGGAACTGTGTGGCAAGCAAGTAATTACTTATCTTAGCTTTCCCCAACACTGGTATGTACTGAACAAAAACCAGACATAACACATCTCAGACATTGTACACAAAGATCTGATTCTTAAGCCAAAATGTTAATGTATCTAGAAAGTTCTGTACAGTGCAAAGGGATTCATACAGCTAATTCTGTGCTGATAAATTAGACTTCATGGTCACAGTTTACTTCTAATACATGGCGATCACTTAATATTGCATGCTCACATACAACATTACACATTCGTTTAAATTTGTCAACATTGCCATAGCTCTTCCTTTTGACTTTGTCTTTACCAAGCAACATTTGGGGTGATTGTGACTCCCTGTAAGCTCTTCTTTAGTGAGTTACCACTGGCCTGTAAGCTGCAGATAACTATATAACAGGGAAAATGTAAGTTGAATTTAATAAGACAAAATATGCGTGTTAGTGCCTGTTCCTGTTATGTAGGACAGAATGAATCACAACAGCAGACTAAAACACAAGGGGAAATGTGGTAACGTACACATCTTCCAGTGGTGAGCCTGTTATCTTTTTACAAATATATTCTCATTCTTACCTACTGTCACTTCAAGAGAAAAAAAAACGTACAGATAAAATGTCAAACATAGGGAGGAGAAAGTGCAAATATTTTGGCGCCGCTTCGTTTTCTTCTTGTTTTTCTGTTCCTTTTTTTTTTTGAAACTCAGGAACTTTTCTGCTCCATCTTTTTCTTTCCTGTCAGCAAGCGTACAGATGCCTTCCCTCTGTGCCCTCTGCTCTCGTCTCAGCTTCTGGATCCTTCTCTTCTCACACTAGACGACCTACTGGGAACAGAAAAGGCAGACAAGAGCAGGAAGGAGGAAGAAAAAAAATGTATTTAGTGTTCAGAATGCAGATGCACTCACACATAGCTGTTGCGTGACTAGACTGTGGTTTCGCTCAACAGGCAGAAGCTCACTTAGACACAGACTCACACACAATTTACATAATGTATGTAACATCGAATATAGTTTAATAAAATATGTATTTTTGAGTTATTATCCTTGATGCATGTTGTGTTTCTGAATGACCGTGTGGAAAGCAGATAGATCCACCGCAGCTGATAACGTTTCTCTTCGTCTAAAACCATTGCCTTTCCTTCAAGTCTCAACAGCTTCATTTCCCTCAGTTAAACAATGAAACTGACTCCATTTTTAGTTTGATAAGATCAGATAATTGTACTGTATCATCAGTTTTGCTTTTAACTTTTTTTTTTTTTTTTTTTACATCACTTTGTTTTTTTCCTATTATTTCCATTCAAAGTTAACTAGTAGTGTAATAAAAGAAAACTCCAATTAAAGTAACTTGTTAAAATATATGGCTTCTGCTTTCGAGTGTTACTATTTTAAAATGCAATGTGAAGCAAAGTTTATGACATATGTATATTTTATGTATATTTCTTCTTCTTTCCATCAGCAAGATGTTGTTTGAGATGTCACTTATACAGTAAAGGAAGGATAGTCAGTGGCCACTAACTAAGGATTGGCTGCTAAGCATCTGTACCCCACCTACATCCCATTCTGCCATCACATGTGCTGATGTTATGTTACAACCAACTCAACAGGTTTCTTAAGTTGTGTGTTGCGTTACATTCGTGCTGAAACTGCACAAGACAGCCAGTGTGCTACAGAAAAGATTGACTGCTCACTCATCAATCAGATGAGTGGGACAGAAAGATGACAAGGGAGAGAAAGAAAGAAAGAAAGAAAGAAAGAAAGGAGAGGCCTGGGAGAAAAGGAGATGGACAACAATCTTAGATTGCTTACAGATGGCTGTCAGAGTGGAGCAGATGTGTGCGAACATGTGTGTCTAGGTGTGTATCTTTTTATGCACCCATTTGTATTTGTGTGTTTGCATGAGGTTTGGCTTGCAGGTATGTGTACATGTATCTAATCTCTCAACTAGCCTACAGGCGGGTGTGTGTGTGTGTCTCAGAGCAGCAGCCTGAGGGGTGGGGATGTACAGGTGCCTTCTCTGTCAGGGCTGGTTATATTAACCATGAAAAAGAAATCCAGCTGATTCCACTACACAATCTGGAAGTTTCTCAAGTCTCAGAGGATGCATTTGCTTCAGAGTCGAGTGTTCTGTTCAAACTTTAAAGCATCACAGTTCTTCCAGCAATCCATAAATCACAAGTTAACTTCCATATGAGTACGTCAGTAGTGAATGCTTTCACCTATACTTTAAGTGTATGAAGTAAAATATTTATGACCACCTGTTTCTACCGGCTGGATCCAGGTGACTACTTTTGCAGTTTTAGTCGTAACATTTTTATGTAAATACAATTTCATCGATTTTGTTACTGTCAATTTGTACCTACCCAGTTATAACATATTTCTCTACCTTAAACACAAACTAAAATAAAGCTTTATGCACAAGATGTTGCAGAGGCTAACGTTACCAGCCATAGCAACAGCTATTTTGGCATTCAGTACGTAAAGAAATGCTTGTCATCTACATTGGTATGTGGAGTGATTTCTTGGAAATTCTGTGCAAAATCACTACAGTAATTTGCAAATGTTTGTAATATAGGGTTGATTAAAAAATATCTATTGTCTTATTAAACATGAAAATCCACATAATCTTAAGGAATTAGATTTTTGACATTTTGTGTAAACATTTGAAAATGTGACCAAAATGACATTTTTACCTGACGACATCATTACACTAGGTGGAGGTACACTAAATTGTCAGTAGTTATGTAGATTGTTTGGTTTGGATGTTTATACACACTATGGTTTGGACCATATTATCGGATAAAACATTGGCATCGGTGGGTCTGGCAAAAACTCCAACATTCATTTAGGTAAGAACAGGATACCAAGATATCATGGAGAGATGTTTGAATGTTAAAATATTTTAGTTATAAGACTCAGACTGGCTGTCATTTGACTGCAGTTTGGCCTCCCTCTAGTGTTCATGGATTTTTAACATTCAAGCAAGAAGGAGCAACTCACTAACAAGAACTGTAGTATTTTCTACATTCAGCGTCATAAACCATTTAACTTGGCAGCATGTACCTGTTGAACTATGTAGTACCACCATTTTTCCTGATACCTCAATCCAGTGAAGTCATGCTGTTCGTCTCTTTAGCCCTGATAAATGTCTCTCTTGTAAGGAGCTGAGCTACAGTAGTGCTGATGAATCGGCTTTGCAATTACCAGGCTCCAGAGCCGCAAATGGTGCTCTCCCTCCTCTCCTCCCAGTCACTGAGGACACTGTCTGTGCCATTAACAACACAAAGCTCCCTGGCCTCTCCCTGGACACCTTGGCCCCACTTGTGATAAAGAGCTGAAAGCAGATCCTGTCTAGCGGTGAAGTGCCTCACCTCACCTGGGACCAGCCAATAAAGACACTTGGCTCAAGAGCTGGGAATCATGGTATACTTGTACATGGTGGCAACTGGGGATAAATGACTTGGCTTAAGGATATGGATACACAGGCTGGAGTCTGCTTTGTAGAACAGCTCATGAAACAAGGATTTTTTTTTTCTCAAACTCATCACCAGAGTAACAGGTAGTGATGGTGAGCAAAGCAATGCTTATCTAATGGTCACAGTCCTCTCTGTTGACCTCCGTTACCTTTAACACAGTACGGTGTGTCGAGCTGATGTCACAGTAATTATAACAAAAGTGGTGTGGAGTAATTGCGGTTGGCTCTGAGACGACGGGGCTCTGGGCTCTCTAATGGTCCTGCGGCCCCGGTGCCAGGCCTGCCTCATAATGCCCTCCTTTCATTCCTGCCTAATGACAGACACAGCCAGGACAAACAGGAGAGAAAGAGGAGAGAGCAGGAAAGGAGACGGGAAAGGAAGAGTTGGACAGCAGACAGGACAAAAAAGCATAACGCCATCTGTCTATTTTTGTCAACGCAAGCCTCACCTGCACAACAGGGCAGGAAGTTGACCAAGTGGCAATATTCCTCATATTGGCAATATTTCCTTCTTTTATAAGAACATATGTAATTTAACAATTATAATTAATACACACCATCAGGCTACCACCTTATTACCAATTATTTTCTATAAGAAAAGTCCAAATCTTTCTTTTTAAAGGTTGCTTTCTCCTACAAAACTCTGACTGGAAGCCTCACTCAAAACGTAAAAAATTTAATTGGATTCTTAAACCAGAACAAAGCTTGCCTATCCTGCAAAAAACATTTTACAATCCACTGTTCTATCTACACTGAATCATGTAATTGTAACCTCACTCCCAAACGCCCTACGAGATGCAATAGTGACCACCGCTAGTGTCCATGGGTTTAAACCTCCTCGCTAACGCTTCCGCCTCCTGTAACCCAGGTCGCTGGTTCGAGTCAGGACTGTGTAGTACAACTTGGGGCCGGTTACTTAAAGATCCTGTATGCTCATGCAGCTGTCACTATCCATAACCGCTAGACTCCATTCAACACAGTGCTGTTCGATTTATTACTTGAGACAACTCACCGCTGTTTATCACTGACATCTAGAAGGCATCAGCATATCTGTGTTTCATTTATAAGGCCTTGCTATCTACGTTGGCGAGATATTTAACAGCCTTAGTTGACTTCAAAGTGAACTGTGACGCCACATCACAGTGAAACTTCTTGAATACATATTTTGGCGGGAGTTTAAGAATAGCCAATGTTTTTATCATCCACCAGCAAACGGATCCAGTGTCTGCAGGGGCACAAGACCATTACTGTCCGTCATTACTCACCTATATAAATTAATTACTTTTAGTCCCAGTCACTCTGGCTATGTGTGAAGTTGCATATAGTACACAGCAGCACGTACTGTAGGGAAAATTATCCGATACATAACTAAGCATGCTCAAGAACTGCTAAAATCTCTGCTAGCACTCAGAATGGATCCTCTAATATCTTAAAATTGTGTTTGCTCATATTTAATGTGTTTTTGTGCATGCAAGCATTCACACATGCATACCCGCATGTGTTTGCACTTATGCAAACATGTGTTTACATCTTTCTAAATGGAGTTAAGACTTTTGAAAAGAACATCATGAACCCTGCATCCAAAACCCACTGCAACAAGGGTAATAGCGAGATATTTTTGTATTTTGTTTATCACAGCAAATGAGACTTAATGCTGGGGACTAGACCTGCTGTTCACCACTGGCCGGACTGTGAGAAGGGTTTACAGAGAAGAAATCACTGCTCTGGGCTTCTGTTACATATCTCATCTATAACAAGGTTTCCAGTCTCTTCAGAGGATGGATGCCACCCTCTCCAGCGCTTCAAAACTCACACAAGGTGTTCAGATGTTTTCCTTTGCTGTTGCCAACGTGTCAAGAGCGAGGAGCCTCATACAGATGTGCTCCTTTCTGACCCACATGCTCACAATCCTTCACCAAAAAGCACGTTCTGTAAACTGTAAATATGTCCAACAACACTGCAGTGACGATCCAAAGCTGCGACAGAGCATGATAAGATTTTATTCCTGGCAAAGGCAGCCTGACTTAAAGGGATCCAGGCCAGTGAGGATCAGCTAGGCATACCTGAACACAATGGCTGTCTATCTTAGTCAAAGCAGAATGCTGCCATATGTTCTTACAGACTTTTGCTTCTTTCATGCAGGCTTTCTCTGTCTCTCCTCCTCTCTCTACATACCTCACTCTCTCCACATTTATCACTAGCTAATGCCTGAGTGGTAGCATAAGGAGCAGTATAAAGCTGTCAGGCCATTTAACTCCAGCTCTTAAGCATGAAGGTGAGAGATTTGGTGACCAAAGCAAAAACAATCGACTGAGCTTCCTACTATGCTCTTCCAGTACCGGGGCTGTTTATCCTGGCAGCTGTGCCCTCGGTCCGAGAGGCCTGACGTTATGCCCGCCCTGAGCCGGGCCGCGCCAGGGTAAACACATGACCTCAGTGCTATGTGGCGCTGAACCGGCCCAGTGGCCAGAGTCAACGGCACCAACGGGACCAATAATTGCTCAATGGGGGGGATCCCGATGGATTGAAAGAGAAGATTGAGAAGAGGAGCCAGAAAGACTGAAAAAGAGCGAGACAGACTAAAAGATCAGAAGACAATCAGGAAAAAACTACGATTCCTTTGTAACATTTGATGGTTCTTGTTAATTTAAGACTATTCTGGCCAATTGCTTGTTGTCCAAGGACCAAGACAAAGTCACACAAGTCTAGGGCTGACTACTGATTGGTAGAAAATTAACACCCCAACTATTTTAACAATGAATTATAGACATTGAATTTATCAGGCAAATATGCCAACCATTCTCTGATTTCTGATGAGTAAAATCAGAATAAAACCACAAATGTCATTTTTACCTTTATGGTCATAACGTGAGGTGAGATGTCACACACCGCACCAGCTCTCTAAAATACCAGCAAAACAGATAATACACCATCTTAGCTATTGAAACACACACATACCTACACATCCATACAGATACATAAGGATGCACACCTCAAACATAAATGTTTTGTACAAATAATGTAAATCAAATGCTGCTGTATCGAGTACGACTGATGCATTTCACCAATGTGCATGTCAATGGGATACACTATAAGCCAGCTACAGCACTCAAAGCCAGAGCTAGCCACTTAGTTAAAGCGTATTAGTTTGCCTTACTTAACAGTTTTGTTCCTGGCCTTGTCCCTTGGTTGCCACTTGTCGTTGAGCTACCTGCAAAAGAGGGGGAAAAACAAATATTAAACTTGATAGAGGTGGATGTCTCATTCTTAAGTCACTAAACCCTAAAATATGCCTTTAATCCTACAGCTACCTTCACTCCAACTGTGATTTATTGTTCATGAATTGAATTTCTTTGTCATTCATGTGTTAAATGTGTGTTAAAGTTTTTCTCCTGGCTGTATGACATTTGGATTGTAGCTGGCAGCAGCCTCTCACTATAAGCCGCTTTGACAGTTGTTAATGATCTCTATTAGGACCGTTCTGTACAGTCATGATGAGTAGTTTGTTATCCGGCCCAGACAGCGTCTAGGATCCACTAATACATTAGTCTTGTCTAAATATTCATCAGTATTTCTAAGGGGAGTGGTGAACCTTATTTAGATTGCCAAGAGACATCTGTTTGTCACATGCACCACACTTACTTCATCCCTTCCTCTAATCCACAGACTGACTTGACTTTTTGAAACCATGTCATGATGAATATATTAGTAAAAATCTGATGTGGGAATAAATGGAAAATGCTCTTTGTATTGTACACTTGTACACTTGCCAATTTTAAAAACACATGGAAATCAGATCAACCAACAAGTACTTTGAAGATTTATGAGAATAAACAATTTGATATTTCTATAAGAGATGTCATTTGTTTTATATTTGTTCCAAGTATCTGTTAAACTGTAGAAAATGAGTCCTGCATGCCAAAGGGCATCTCTAACCAGGTGTTGAAGGAGACAAGACCCTAAATGCATATTTTTCCAGCTGGCCCGAGGTTCATATCAGGTTCATGACCCTACTCTATCACCCTGCCAACCCACTCCCAACCACCCTGTTTCCTCCTGCTTAGTTTTTCCACAGCTTTCCTTTTTCTCTTACCCTCCTTGCTGACGCCCAGGCAGCCTTTCAGCTCCTGCAGGGAAATTGCCCTGTCCTTATTCAGGTCACAGTAGTCGGTGAATTTTCGGGCGCATTTCTTGGGTTTGGTTTTCTTCTTCAGGTACCTCTTAAACGGCTTGAGTTCCTTCTTGTTGATGTCGTGGCTGCCGTTGTTATCCAGCTGGGCGAAGTACCAGTGCACCACCCTCTCTTCTAAAGTGTGACTGGGATCAGGCTCGACAAACCTGGTTATGGTTAGAGGAACAGACGGGAGTGAGAGCGTGAATGTTTCAAAACCTAGAGAGGATTGGCATAAAGGGTAGTAACAAAACAAAATCTGATAACACAACAATGAACTGGAAATACAGAAGAGGAAGTCCACATAAATACAGTAAAGATAACACGTTAAATGTTGAAATTTAAAATAGGTTGATAAACAATTCTTAATCCTGCATGACACACACACCATTTGATGTGTAATCACATCACTTCACACTCAATTCAAACAATATTGGTCCATTTTGAAATGAAATCAAAACATCCTGTGCCAAAAAAGATGTACATCTGGATTCTTTAGGCAGCTTTGTTTTTATTACAGCTTAACTTGCTGTTTAAAATCATTTAAAATCAACTTTCTGCTTTGCTTTTTTTTTTTGCAGTTAAGGTTCCTTTTTTTATTTAGGTTTGTATACATTCACATGTATTATAGCCTCTCCCAGTAATTAAGGAGTTTTATTCCACTTACCTTCCCCCATTTTAAAAATGATTCTCTCCATACAATTTAAATTTGACTTTTGTATTTAAATAAACTTTAAAAAGATTGAATTTCACTTATTCCATTTTTTTTCTTTTCCTACTTTCATTACAAATCTTCACTTCAATAGAAGGTGTTAGCTTGCAGAAACAAAATAAAACAAACAAAATAAATGCAAAACTAATGCAACAACTTAAATGTAAAGACAGTGTTGCAGGTGAGGAGCCAACCGTTGGCTCTGAGGTAAGTATCAGCTGCTTCCTGCTTCAGGCCTCGTGTTACCTCTTCAGATTCTGCTGGGCCTGCTTCAGTAAAGTGTCAAAGTCTAGTGCATGAAACTTGCCTTTTGCAGGCAATGGATCGTACTCTCTACTCGAATCCAGGTCAGAATAGCTGGACTTGCAGAACTCTCTCCTTCCACCAAAACAGATCGAATGGCGCAGCTTGCCTCCATTCTCTATGGCTGTAAAAGCATCCTTGTTGTCGTAATAAGTAACAAACCCATAGTTGTCCCCGTGGTCTCTAAAGTGCAGCGTGCAGTCTTCAATTTCACCAAACACAGAGAAGCGCTCTTTACAGAGAAGCGCTCTTTAAGTTCTTTTTGGGTCATTGTTGCTCGAATTCAACCAATGTAAACAACCCGGCGCTCCTCCATGGCTTTCCCCTTGCATCTCTTGACTTCTTCCACATTTGCCTTTGTACCGTGACCATAGCCAGGTCTACCTGAAGGGCTGTACAATCTACTGCTTCTACTCCACTGTGTTCGTCTTTGAAGGGATCGAGACCGTGACCTGGAGCGGCTCCAAGAGCAAGAACGAGAGGAGGAATAAGAGTACTTCCTCCTCCTGGGAGGAGAGTGGGACACAGAGGTAGAGGACCGAGAGGAGGAACGGGATGAGGAGCTGGAACTACTCCCAGAGTGACAGAGACGATACCTTTTTTTTAGGTGGAGAGCGTGATCTAAACCGATACCTAGAGGAATGAGAGTCTGACTCTGACCCGCTGGACGTAGGGCTGGGAGAACGATGGGATCTTCTTTTTCTCGACCAGCCTCCAGTCCGTTCTTTGGGACTAGGTCTGGGGCTGGGTGTGCTTTGCAGAAGTGATTAATCTTTTCAGGACAGCACAGACAGCTTTTATCCAAATACCTTTCAGTCTCATCAAGTTCTAGCATTGATGGAAAGTGAACACCAAACCCTGTCAGCGTCTGTGCCAAGATCTGCGTGTTGCATGTCAGAGATAAAATATTAGCATTCAATTCAGAAAACCAGAAGGAAGGATTATTTAAGAAAAACCAGAAGGCATGGAAAACCTCCATGAATAATCAGCCATAAGGTATCCTGCTTAGGTACAATACTCGAGTCTTCACTCGTACACGACACTACTTACCTCCCACCACCAGAGGGGGCTGGTGAGGTTATGGCTTGCACCATGTCAGTGGTGAGGGCATCTAACAAGCTTGTAATGAATTCCACTTTCTTCCCATCTGGGCAGCCTGGCACAAATCAAAGACAAAAACAGACCAAAATTACCTTCCACAACTAATTTGAGTAATTAGAGTACAGTGAAGCTGAAGAGCCTTTAAAGCCACCAGTATACCTGAATCAGTATGACGGACGTCAAACGGAAAACGGCTGTTGGATAGTAAAAGTAAGCATAAAAACCTTGTCCAGAGCTTAATGACAAACCGGGTGTATCTATTAACTGGCTTATGTTCACAAGTTCACAATTACTGGTGAATCATTGTATGTGTGGTGTGTTAGTGAAATACATAGTTTGGCTGCTTTTTTAAGAGTTCAGAAAAGCAGAGCTGAGGCACATGGCAAGAGGTGAAACAGAAGTGTGCGGTGATGAGAGAGTTGTGTTGAACAGTGCAGACCTGTTAACTTTTATGACGCAATTCTGAACACCTTGGGTAGCTCTTTTTAATTGCCCAGATGTATGGTTTTAATAGGAGGCTAAACCAGTGCAAATTTTTCCCTCCTAATTGTGTCTCTTAAAGTCAAACTTCAAACGCAGCTGCATAGTAAACTAATCTTCTGTGTCTCCTTTTTTTGCTCAAGCTGTCTTAGTCGCTGGCCTCCTCCCCTTCCTCTGAGCGCTTGTGGCCTCCTTGTTTTCTGCTCTGTTCATGTCTTTTCATTCCTTTTTGTGTTGGCTCAGGGGGTTTTGTGGGAGGTGGTCTGCTGCCCCACCAGGTGAATCCAATTAGCATTTCCTACGACACGACAAACTCGGAGAAGCACTGCCTTGCTGCGCCTTAATCCAAGTGTTAAATTGGGGTGTTATGAAGCGCAAACCGTTATGTCGTATGTGGCAAGGTGTTAAGGGCGCAGTGTGGTGCAGGACCTCTGGCAGCGTCAAACAAGCTCAGGGCCACTTGGAGTTGATCTTGTTAATCTGAAGACTTGCACATTAAAGCTTTACCAAACAAGGTTATTATTCTAAAAGTACACAGATCTGTTCAGCCAGAGTCAGATAAATAAAGGTCCACAATAAAGAAGAATCACATCTTTGCAGGTTCCATATGTTTTTCACCTGTGAGTAGTTGAGTTTTTTCTTTCACCTGAATTATCTTTAAGTTCTATAAAGAGTTACAACTATCCATTTCAAAAGAAAAAAGCTAATTTTGAACATATAAACATCATTTGTTTATATGTTAATATTAAGTTCTGGAGATAAGTTCAGACTTTTCCACATACAAAGAGTGATCAATAAAAATTAATTAGTAACTTTTTGCTGAACTGTGTTGGGTAAGCACTCTGTCCAGATAAAGTCGGGTTCACCAACATTCGATTTTTTTCTCTGAAAACTGATCACACAGCAGCTGGTTAAGTCAACCTTAAAACCCTGAACCAACACTACAGTGGGTGTCTGCAAATGTGGACATGTATCACTCTTGTGCACTTTGGAAGTTTGTAGGCACATACAATCCACAAAATGAAGAGATGGCAAAATTTACATTTGGTTAAACCCTTGTAGCTTCATAGAGGCGGAAAGTGTAATTTTAGTGTGAGGTGATGTTTACCACTCCACCATTAGGGATGCAGCAATAAAATCTGAGACTGTGTTAAAGTCTTGATCTTTACAGGTTAATGACAGAACAGGAGCAAATAGAAATAGAAATTCTTTTAATATATAGATTTTGAACAAATACAGTTCCTCAACTGACTGAACTAGAAGATCCCAGCCTTTGGTCTCAGGGGGAGAGCTCTTATCTGTTCCTCCTGACAGAAGTGGTATTGTGCCACTTTGTGTACAGTGAGATTGAACCTGTAGCTGCATGCTGTTAATAGACTGCCCTCTCAAGCATTCTTTTCTCCCTCTTGCCTTGATGTGACAACAATGAAATAGTATGCTTTGTTGTGGTGGTTCAGAAATCCCTCTACAGTACATTAAAAATATCTCCATTCAGCACCCTGTGGTCACCAACACCCCCCAGCAGCCCCCCACAGCCTCCCCACCCCACAACACTCACACCTTCCATAAAACATGCCACACATCTGCTGCACAGTCAGGAGTCATGCTTGACTCTGTAAACTCACCAGATGGGGAATTAAATAAGAGTTACAATGCAACCTTAAATGATGGGGAAACAGAGGGGCAACAAAAGTAAGTGAGCAATAACAAGGGCAGAGGAGTATGAGCCAAGGTTGTGACCTCTGGTTTAGAGGAGAGTCCCTGATCTTTGCTGCCAAGAAATCCAACACCACAAAGTGTGATTTGGTCAATTCTTAATCAAAGCAAGTGGGAAAAAAAATATTTCCTGTTAAAAGTGAAAATAGACATACTTGTGTACAATGCAATTTTCTGACTGTTCTCTAAACCCCTCCCCTGGACAGCAGTTGTCCAATCAACAACTGTAACTAAGTCCAGCAGGTCAAGCTTTGGATTTCTCCACATACTGAAACGATATGCATGGGGCTGTAGTGAGAGATTCTACATACAAGAGCCAAAGTGTATTTGTGTTTGTCTGCTCTATGCATGTCTAGCTAACTAGCTTGCTACCTACAAGAAGATGATGATTTCATACTACATACTTTAAGTCTGTGTGGTTACAGGTTAAAAGCCACAGTCATGACAAGCAAGTCCACTGTATAGTATTTCACTATTGTGTGGAAACTCTAACCCAGCATGCTAACAGGTAATGTTGGCAGCTTTCTCTACTCTTTATTGGATTTGGGGTAGTTTACACTAATTATCCAAGATAGCGTTATGTTTTCCAAACATGTTGGGTAATGTGCACCTTTTCTTTGGTAAAAGTGAAACAATTGCGAACAATGAAGCATAAATCTAACCTTTGTGTTGCTTGTCCAAGTATTTAAGCCCAACCAGCATTATGTTAGAATGAAATGAAACTGTCTCATCTTAAATTTTCCCTTATTATACTTCATGCATCAGACTACCTCTACACTGCTGTTCAAGAACATTACTGCTGCTTCTTTATTTCCAGATAATGTTAGCTTAATTGTTAGAGCTGAATCTGCCAACAACAGCAAAATAGCAGGTCACCAGCTAGAAATTAGACACTTGAAACTTACTGACAATTTCAGTGGTAAATCTGACCGTTATCGTTGTAAACTGCACATGTGTCGTACAAGAACAACAAGCATGGCAAAAGTAGCTAAGAACAGTGGGGCTTGGAAAATGTCAATGTCGGGATTATTTTTTCTAGGTCTTGTTATTAGTGCCAATGAATATTTAAACTTCATTCATTTGTTAAAAATAAGTTTTGACACCATTTTCTGCAATCCCCCAAGCCCACAAATGAATGGAACTGCAGTGAAAAGGGAGAAAAACCTGTCAGGTCTCTGCCTTGGAAGGAATCTTCTGTGTCTGAGATGCTGCGCGATGTAGCACTGTCACACTCCGGCGTCTGGTACCTGTTACACAGAGAGGAGAGGACAGCAGAAACATGGCTGCATGAGACAGAAACAGAAGGAGAAGCTGAAGAAGGAAAGAATAAAGCTGTTTTAGCAATGTGTGGAAAAACCTGAGATATCCGAGGAGAAGCTCGTCTGTGATGACAAAGTTGATCAGCCATAGGAAATGAAACAAAAATCAAACAAAGCCTCGAACTCAAGACTCAACAAAACAAAAACAAAACTGCAAAAGATTTTCCTTGTTTTCCTTCCAGGCCACAGAACAATCTGAAGTGGAGCTTAAAACCAGGAGATGTTATTGTTGCAGGACCAATATCTGTGCCTCGCTTAGTGATGAAAAATATACTCTCCCTAATCTCTTCACATGCATTCTTCTCTTACTTCTTAAACTACAACCTGTTGTTCTTTAGCTTTAATCTCTGTATTCATTTTTGATCTTTACTGAATTATTGATAAGGTCGTTGACCTTTCTTTTAGTAAACGCAAATTAATAAATTAATTTGATTTGACGTGCACAAAGCTTTGTTTCGGAGCCATGACAAACAGTTTGGCATTATGCGTAGCATGACTCGTTTTCTCCTGGCTATTCAATCAGTGGTTCTTGAATAGGACGGAAAATTGAGCATGTGTGTTTCATTTGCCTTTTTTTCACAGCGCAGGGCCATTGATCGAAGATGAGATGTTTGATGCATAACTTTGCACATTGCTGTCCAGAGGAAAGAATTTGGGATGAGTGACATGAGGTCTAGTCCAAAATACATTAGATTGTAATGTGAAGGGAAAAAATCACCTCAAGGTTGTCATTCAGTGTCTCAGTGCAGATGGGAATTAGGTCTGTGAAAGTGATTTATTTTATGGGCTGTCAATTAAAAATACGCTGGTATCTCATTGATGTGAAACTAAACCTAAAACTAAACTAAGTTATCCTAGATTCAAACTATAGCAGGGCCAAACACCAACTCACTTTTTTGACTGGAAAAAGTCTGTACCTCATCCTGTAAAACATAAACCCTTTTGTGGAGAGAGAATGATGATGCCCCTTGAGGAACAAAAACAAGTCATCTATTTACTGGTGCATGCTTACAGGTTTTTAAACATCCAATCTCTTTCCCTTTGTCTAGCACTGTGTTGTAATATTGAGAAGTTTTTAAACAACCAAAACATGAGTAATGGGCCGCATTTATTCAACATTTTTCTGTTGCCTCATCTCCATCCCTGTGACATACAGCTCTTGCATAAACGCACTGTGCCTACGCCATTTCCCTGAAAGCAATATAAACAGAAACAAATGTCATATCAAGCACTGAGTGTTTATGGCCAGCTAAATGATATTCCCATCAGAACTTGAGGCTAATTGTTTTACCAAGCGAACCAGCAACGGCAACTTGGATCCAAAATCTTCGTAGCGGCGAAAGTAGCTGTTAGCGATTAGCTCTAGCGCCTTTAGCAGGTCAAAGTTTTCACTTATCCTATAATATATCTCAATAAATCTACTGTACAACATTTTTTTCAGACTCCTAAAGACTTTGGTGATCCTTTGACGACTTCTCTGGTGCCACAAGTACAATGTCTTTTGGATGAATAGCCTTTGATTTTGGTACATATTTTACATTATTTTTTTAATTTGAATAAAGTTGGTGAGCCCTTAAAGGCACAATGAGTAGGATTTTCCTAAAAAAGAATGTATAGGCTCATACAAAAATAATGCCCCTCAATCTTCATTTAAGATCTACTAGATGTGTGTGGCAGTGTCTGAATCTGTAGAGACCGTGCCCTCTAGGAATTGTGAGTTTACGCTGCAAACGACAAATCCTTCACTTATGCCTTTATCTCTTATCTAGTGCTATCATCGGATCACAGTTTCAGTCAAAGTACTTTGGGTTTTGACCAAATACTCGCAAAACTGATGACATTCCTATCAGCCTCAGAATGTTAGCATTATAACACTAAACTAAGATGAGAATGTTAGCATTGTGATTATGAGCATGTTAGCATGCTGTTATTAGTATTTATCTTAAAGTGACATGCTTCAATAATCCTCACAGAGCTGCTTTGGCTGTAGATTGTTATTATTAAAAATTAAATTCACAGACTTTACTGCCAGAGACACCTTAAAACTAGCTGCTGTATGTGTTTAGGACTGGCATTTCTCATGAAAGTTTTGTAGTCTTGCTTGTGCTTCCAAATGCGTTGTCCAGCGCTGATACCAAACTGAACAAAGATTATGATTTTGCCTCATTTTACCTGTCCTGCTACCAGGATATAAGATTGCCAGTCTCAGTTTGGCAGAAAAAGAAATAAACACTCAATAAAATGGAAAGGAAGCTTATTATATTTTCCAGTGGACATCTGAATGCCATAGTACCTTAATAAAAGTAAATGCTATTACCTGGTGGAGGTTCCAGGAATGGGCCGTCCCGTGTCCACCAAAACACACCAGCAGTAGCCTGTGGACTGATGGCATTGGACCGGTTTGTAAAGGCCTCCGGTCCCACAGTCAGGGATAAAAATGGCTTCACGAGGATTCTGCCGAGCCTCGTCCAGTGCGGTCTGTCGCTCCTGGTCACAAGAGGGAACTTTCTCTAAAACCATGAGAAACGCACTCAATACAGAGGGAAACCAGAAACACACACAAGAACAATCATCTATCCCAAGATAAATAGGGCATGGAGTAGGTTGAATGAGAATGTAGACCAAGTGGTTATTGATATATGTAAACCTGATTCGGGATGATCATGTCACAACATGTGTTGTACTTGGTTCTCACTCACTATTTACAGGCAAGAAGCCCAACACCACGATCGACTATCGATCAACCCAATGTCCATCATGATTAGCTAGCTACTGGTTGGTAGAAAGTGCAATAAGCCTGTGAAACACATCTGTCCTGGTTAAAGCTCCTGAAAAGGTGGATCTTTTGTTAAATGAGTTTAGAGTGACAGTGTCATCAAGGCTGCTTATTTTCACCAAGATTTGTTTCGGTTCCAAGTGTTATGTAAATAAAGAGCGCCAAATGTGATGAAGAAGTTTCGGAGACTGATGAAGACCTACGCAGGATTGTTTATTGAGCCTGGCCGGGAGATACAGTGCCAGCATACAACATGCGAACACATGGAACACCAAACCTGAAGGATACTTCCTGTCTGAGGATATTTATCCTTTCTAGACCAACAGAGATCCACTTAGTGTCCAGATAAGGTTATTGTTCACCCCTCTATACAGGTGTCTGTCTATTGGAGGTCTATTGGATATTGGTTCAAATCAAGACACTATGCTTACCTAAGTTAACCTGAGGTCACGTTTTGTGTCATTCAAGCCAAATGCAACACTTTCTCACTAGTCAGTCTGTCTGTAATTAAACAAAATAAAGATAATCTCAACCTTGGGTTAGCAACTGGATAGCAGTGCATCCTTATAAAGGCAGCTGCATCAGTCAGTTGACCAGGCAGGCAGAGGGGAGAGACAAGAGTCTGACCTACTGTTTGGAGAGTCACTGGCTGTCACCTGTAGTTTACTTTAGCTCAGTAAACCCGTGTCATAGTACCCCTAAATTCTTCACACCAAGGACTAGACCTCAGCAATTTTCCTTCAGAAACCCGCGGTTACAGATGCTGCTACTCATCACTTGTGTAGGGTGGACACAAACAAACCACACCAAGCTGTTTCAGCTAATCTGTATCCAACGACATGTTCAACCATTCAACCGCTACCATAAATTCTTAACTAGTCCTTCCTCAGGTTGTATTGGGAAGTCTTTACGCACCACGATCTGTCATATCTGTCACAACAACAGCCGCTCGGCCCTTGAGAGGCAGCTCCTGCAACACCTTGTCCCACCACACTGTATTTACATTCACATCCATTTAGTCTATTGCTCACTCTTAAGCCAAGTACAACAGAACTGCAGGCTAAACTTGTTACCATGGCGATGAAGTGTGCTTTTCCCGCTCCTGATCCATTCTTCATTTTACTTTCAAGTGCGCTATGAAGCATTAAGCTACAAAAAGAAGCTCTAACCGTTTGGAGCCTTTTCTTCAGGGTGGTGAGGCGCTGTTTTTGGATTGTGGGGCTGATTAGTGCCTCATCTGTACCGGTAGTCTCAGCTCACACATTTCCAGTAACCAGAGCATAATTAAGACAATACGGCACAGTCACTGTTTGATCCAAGACAACATAAGAAAAGGAGCTTGTGAAATTAGATATGGGACAGCATTTTAAGTACATTCTCTACCACACAACAGTGCTGGAACACTGTTGATCATTTACTTAAACTGGCTATAATCAAGGAGTTCATTAACACCTGATCAAATGACTGATTAGGGTCACTCTTCTTAGAAACCCAGAGAGAAATATCACCCAAATCACCCTTGTCTTTAGCTCATTGTTTTGGTTTTATAGCCAATTTTGTCTCACCACTCCTATCAGCCTTTTTACCAGGCACGGAAAGCAAGTACAAGTAAGCAAGTTTAAAAAGTAGAGCATCTAACAGCTAAGGAGACGGATATTTCTCTCTCGTTAGTTAGTGGAGACCAAAACTGAGCTGGACAGGAGAGTGAATATTGGACTTACAGTCATCATTTATTACAAAAAACTACTCAAGATAAATGCTAATGTTGCTACATGTGCTTTCTGTATACATGACCATTTTTATGCATGTCTTGAAAAAATTAATTGACCAAATGTATTTCACAATACATGATCTGAAAATGTTAAGCGTAATAGTCATTACATTACATTACATTGTAATGTAATAAGGATGGAGATGACACTGGTGGCAGCAGCAGAGGTGTGTGTGTGTGTGTGTGTGTGAGAGGGTGTTCAGGTTTCTGAGAAATTGCTGCCAACAGAGTACTAAACGTGTCTCTACACCAAAACCCTTTTTCTCCTGCGAAGACTCGCACTCAAGTGTTCTTAGTGCTGTGCCGTGGCTCTGGTCCTCGCCAAGGTTCCTTCACATCCAAATTATTTAGCTCTGTTTATTATACAGACGTTATGCTGGCGCCAGGCACTAGGATTCCCAAAAGAAAATTGTTTTTATACATATAAATGGAAAAGGGCTGGACACTTGCAATATAATCCTCTCAGTTTTATGTGGAGTTGAAATTCAATCTACAACTTATTTGCCTGCCTTGCATTTCTACTCCTATTTATTTTTTGTTTCTTTTTCAATCTTATTTCTCTTCCCTTGGCAGGAACTGAATGATGAGAAACACAAACCCTCGGAAAAACAAATATTGTCCTGAAAAAAAGAAAACCACACAAGTGGATGTCAGGAACCGTCGTAATATGCTCGTTGTTGTGGTAATTATTTCTTCAGGGCAAACGATGGACAAAAGATGACTGTCTGCAGTATCTTTGGTGAAAACAGCTTTGCCCCATTGTTATGCCTTTCACTTTGGCTCTCATCTTCCAGGGTCTGAGCCACGAGAAACAATTTTTAAATCATCACTCTTTTTCTTATTTCTGTTTCTTTATCATTAACATGTTATCAAGATTTCAGTCCCTTCCTACCTCTTTAATCCTTTTATCTCTCATTCTTTCACTTTCCTTTTCTTTCTCTCTCTGCGTCTCTCTATCGCAATACCTCACTCTCTGACCCTACCCCCACCCCACCCAGCGCCCTCTCCTCTTCGCTTCACTCGAATGGCTTTCAGCTGTGGGGTAATCACTGCAATATTGTCTCTAGCAAGTCTTCTCTGCAGTTAAAATAGCGGAAATGTTAGTAATAGGGGAACTCTGTGAGTAGGTATGTAGGTGCAGAGATGATGGAGAGTTCACTCATAAAATGGATTTTTGACAATAACAAATGATGTCTTGAAAAGTAACAAATCATTCGTTTGCTTATTGAGCTGAAAAGCAAAACACAAGTGCGTGCTAGACATGCAAATAGGATTAAAAGAAACAAAACCCCCTTTTAAGACTGCATATTTTTATACAAAATCATTCTCTTTGATGACATGATCGCATTATATCCCTTCAGCATTTTGTTTTACTTCTGTTTGCCTTGCCACAATGGAGGAGCAGCGGTTAGCGAGTTTCTTGTTCTGCACACACTTTTATAAATGAGCTGCGAGACAGGGCACTTCCCACCTCTTACAACATTGGAACAACAGCATGTCAAAGTCTGGCAAGGAAGCATCTTTTTGAAAAATGGAGTTTGCATTGCTCTGCCCAAGCAAACACGTTTCACTAACACAATCTCCGCATCGCTCTAAATCATAATTATGAAGTATCCAGAGGCAGACCGCCAATGAATGAATAATGTAGTTTATGTGTGCAAAGGAGGGCTGCTTTCTGGGCACGCTGATTTTCTAGCGTGTTGGAAGAAAAGGACAAGTTCGGATTCTGAGGAATTTAAACATTGAGGATTTGTTGCACCAAATCTTCTCTAGTTTTAGCCAGAAAGGAAGAAAAAAACAAATGCCTGTGTAATGGTCATAGGCTATCTCTCCAGTTGTTTGCTCACAGTCTCAGAATCTCTGGATTTCGGCCTAAAAAACTGGCATCTATTAAGAGAATGAAGCAAACTGCCAGTAACACAAGACACACACATACACCAGTGATGGAGGAAGATTTCAAATCCTTTGCTTAAGTAAATCTATATGTTAAAAGCCGAAGTCATATATTTAACAGTTCACTTAAGTAAAAATGAACAAGTATACATTTTGAGCTGCAACTAACACTTATTTTTATTTGATGTAATAAAAAAAAAAGATTATCTGTCGATTATTTTCCGGATTCATTTATCATTTTGTATATAAAATTTCAGAAAATGCTAAAAGGTAATATCCTCCAATGCATGTTCTATCTGACCAACAGTCCAAAACCCATAGATATAATGTAAGTAGTTTATGAATGACAAAGAACAGTTACGAATGAAACCATAATCTTTTCTGCATTTTTGCTTGAAAAATATTAAAACTTAATTGCTTTATCAAAATAGTTTCTAATTAATTATCTATCCAGCAGCTAATCAATCAATCTAATAATTGTTTCAGCTCTAACTGAATGGACTCAAATATCAGAGGTCAAAGTCCTGGCTGTGAAGAAGAGTTGTCACATGGTTTTCTGGATTTTAATGTTTCCAAATCAATTGATAGAAAGATAGAAAATGGGGAGGGAGAGCAGAAAAGAAATGACAAATAATTAATATTAGTGATATTTTGAGTTAATCTTATGTTGTATATAAATTGTGAATCTTTGAAGTGATAGTGTAGTAACATCATAAATACAATAATACTTTTTGAAATATAGTGCAGCACAAGTTCTACTAAAATGAAAATGCTCAAGTGCAAGAACATCACAAGTGTACTTGCGTACAGTAGATGTACTTTGTTACTCCCCGACTCTGAATCTCTCTCACACACACACACACACACACACACACACACACACACACACACACAGGAACACAGGAACACAGGAACACAGACATTTTCATGTACACACGCAGATTCACACACACATTCTTTCACTAACACACTCATAAACACACAGACACAGTCACAGACACTGAATCTCCTTTTAATAGACACATGCACACCAACAAACACACACTGTGTGCAATCGCAGACACACACATCGCTCATGTCTCAAACGTGATGACATCTCCCCCTCAGTCGGTCTTGTCGCTTGTGCTTTGAGGACACCAGATGCTAATTGGAAACAGGAAGCTGGTGTTTCCACGGAAGTTTCAAAGAGCTGTCACAGTGAATATTTCTCATCTAAAATACAATGCTGACCACAGTTTCCCCCACCACATCGCCATCATTCAAATTACTAAGAAGCCTCATATAACCAGCAACTGTTTGTGTGGAGATGGCTAACTTTGCATTCCAGTTTGGCCAATGTGTGTGTTCAAAGACAATTAATCATCCATGGTCATTTATTTTATTTGATCAAAACCCTGGGTATTTTCAGTAAACATCAGGGACTGTAGGACATTAAAACAATCCACTGCACCACCTCAGTGGCAAGCTAGGAGACATTTCTAAAGCAAAGTACAACCGATCAATGACATGTATAAATGAAAATGTGCAAACAAAAAATGTATGCACATGTTGCATACTATTACCAAAAGACAAATATCAGTCCCAAAAATCAGCTAACCAACCCTAACACACACACACACACACACCGCATTCACTCATGGACTAGCTGCAGAAGCATGAAAGCCGTCCAGCTGCCCAGAGGGTAGTGAACATGTCGAGGCGTAATTGAAAAGGAGACAGCGAAAGCTAAACAAATTACACTAAAGGAAAGAAACCAGGAAACATAATCCCAGAAGTGCAGGGCTGTCTTCAAACTGCAAATGTTTTACATTGCATCTACTAGTGGCTTTGAAACTGGCTTCGCCGGAGACAAGTTGGTTCTTTCAGAGTGTTCACTTTATTTAGGGTTTGAGCTACTTTGCTGGTGTAGCTTTTACACTCATCTTAAAATCAATATGTGGCTAATAACTGGATCCTGAAATGGATAGTATTTGAGTAGTTGGTTGTACTGGGAGGAGAGGTGGGTTTATCAGTGATATGGTAAAGGACATGATCCCTCACTAGCTTCCCACACACAAAAGCTTGTGTTTGAAACAACTCTGTGTTGGGAATGTATAGCTATTGTGTTGATAGTGCACTATTTCATATTAATCAGGAACTCTCTACACCCTATTCTTAAAAGGTGTAAATTTAATATGCAGATCAAAAAAGGATACATGCATTAGAATAAAGATGGGTTTCTTTGACTATGTTCAGACTGCAGACCAATGTGACTCAAATCTGATTTTTTTTGCTCATATGTGACTCAGATCTGATCTTTTTATAACAGTGTGAACAAGCCAAGTCACATGGAATCTGATCTTTTCCAGTTCGGATTTGGGACACTTCCATATGTGGTCCAAATCTGATACAGATCGGATCTTTTTGAATGCGACTTGAGTCTGGACACTTTTGATGCGACTTTGGCTACGTTCAGACTTCAGGCCTTAATGCTCAATTCAGATTTTTTCCCCCGATTATTTATTTATTTATTTTTTTGATTTGACAATTCACATTATAGTTTTAAATGTGGCCCATATCAGACTCCATTGTGAACTGTCCGCGGCCTGAAAGTCACCCGCATGCGCAGAAGAGTAACACGATGTCTCACGCAGCACGCTGTTGCAGGCTACAGATGTAACTTCCGGTTTTCATTGTCCTGTCACGGTTCACATTTCTCCCGAATTATGACACAGTGTTCACAACTTTCTGTTAGTTTCATTACGGGTTCTGCCGCTGTACAACACAACTGCCCCACAATTCTCTAGCTCGCCTGTTCACACTCAGATCTGAGTCACATATGAGCAAAAAAATCAGATTTGGGTCACAGTGGGGAGAGAGGGAGTTGTGGGGCAGTTGCGTTGTACAGCGCTAAAAAAAACGTAATGACACGAACAGAAAGTTGTGAACACTTGAAAACCAGGAGTCTCCCGGGAGCTAACCGGAGCTATGTTGCTCCTCGTTTACTTCTGTAGCCTGCAACAGCGTGCTGCGTGTGACGTTGTGTTATTCTTCTGCGCATTGGTCACTTTCAAAATCGGATCTGGGGAAAACATTGGAATTAAGCATTAAAGGTTCAGTGTGTAATATTTCTGAGGATCTATTGACAGAAATACAATATAAGATCCATAACTATGTCTTCCGTGCTGTATAAAGACCTTACATAATGAACCTTTATGTTTTTATTACCTTACAATGAGCCATTTATATCTACATAACCGCGGGCAGCCCCTCCTATGGACATCGCAGTATTTTGTTGTCATGTTTCTACAATAGCCGTCAACGGACAAACAGCACAACAGAGCGCGTTTTGTCACGGTGTTCTTCTTCTGCTTGTATAATTCCGGCAGTGTAGACGCCCGTCACTACATTAAATGCGTCCATAGAAGAAGAAGAGGAAATAATAATAAACAGTCTCTGAGTAGTCCTCTGGTTTATTAGAAGTAAGAAGAGAAGTGACATTTGGACAAATGAACAGCACACACTTGTTATTTGTGGGACAGATACAAACAGCTGACGACATAATTGGTGTGGATTTTCCCAGATGGAAGGCTTTGATGTGGGACAGATGTTTTCAAAGCAGAGCTGAAGTTGTCTGTTTTCTGCTGGACAGGTAATTAAGTTAGTTGGCAATGCAAATGAAAGCTGTTGTTTGATAGCTTTAGCTAGAAGTTGGCCATAATCGCAGAGAGCCGTGGTGTGTTTCCCCTGTCAGTGTCTTATCTTGTTGGATTAATTTCATGTAGCCTTGTTGTTCTCCAGCGCTGTGGTTTGGCTTTTCTGCTTACGCAGCTGGTCAGTAACTGGCAATAAAACTAACTAGCTAGTTAGCTTGTAGCATGGAAGCATCAGCCAGCTAAACCTTTAATGCTCTGGTAGAAAAAATATGTTGTTGGATTGTAATTTAATGTAGTCATTCGGCTTGTTGTGTAAAATATATAGTGGGATTAATTTCATGTAGTGACCCTCTCTCCAGTGCTCTGTTTTGGCTTTGTCTGTTATGTTCCTGAGACAATCAGCTGATCACTAATTGGCAATAAAATGTAGCTTCCAGCATCTAAGCTCAGTTCAGCCAGCTAAACTTTTAGTGCCTTGGTAGAAAACATATGTAGTTGGATTGTAATTGGATGTAGTTATTATACAGCGCTCTGTTATGGCTTTGCTACGTGGACAGAAATGTGCCCTTACCTTCCTGAGACAAACCACTGATGAATATTATTGGCAATAAAACGGTTACAGCATAGAAGCTCAGATCAGCAGCTAAACTTCTGTTGAATACTCCCCCTGCCCTGGTGGAAAACATGTATTTATTTTACTGCTAATAGTGACACATAATATGTGTATATGTGTGCCTGTCAAGTTACCAATAATGAATACTTTCCGAATACTTTTTATTTTTGATAGCGCTTCGCCACTGTGCACAGAATTGTGTAATTTGTACTTTCATATGTTAAATGCCCATTAAAAACGTCTTACCACAAGCTGAAATTATGGTTGTCAGTACCACTTTGTGTTTCTGTTGTATTTAAAAAAAAAAAACATTTGGGTACTATTTGCAGATTGCTTATCTAATTAATTAAACAAAGCGAGAGGAGCCTTGATCATCACTTGACAATGCCTTTGTAAACTTCATGTATTATGTGGTTTATAATGGACTGTGGTGCAGAAACAGTGAAGCTTACATTTTCCTGTTATCTGTCAGTGGTCATACTTGATGCACTAGATGTGACAGTGTTTCTGAGATATGAGATGTCATTTTCTTTGGTATGTTAGTCCAGATGAGCCAACCCTCCCAAGTTGTAAAATACTGTATTACAAGAGTATGAGATCATGTAGCACTTAATTTCTTGAAGTGGCTGTTTATTAATGAACAAATAACAATAATATTCATAAAAACATTTATTTTTACTGAATAATTAAGTAAATATAATTTCTTATTATATCTATTTAAAGAAACCTGATTTCTTGACTGGCAACTCACAGCTATCGCACAGAGGATATCTTTTGTCCTGTTTCAGGCACCATAGCTATACAACTCTCTTGGATAGGGGAGACGGCGTGCAATTCACAACTCTCACCACTAGATGCTACTAAAACTTACACACTGAACCTTTAAGGCCTGCAGTCTGAACGTAGCCTTTGTCTCACCTTGCCTCCTGGAAATGGAGATGTTCTGCTTATCCTTATTACCCATCTGTTTTACCCTCAGCGTTGGAGCAGTTATCTCTGGAAATAACAGGAAGACAGTGTATAGATCAATAATTTTCATACTTTTAGATGATCTCCACAGACTCAACCACAGTTAAGCTTTATTTAATCTTGTCAGCTGTGCCGTATCCAACAGTAGCTGCATATTTGAAACACTTGAACTGCCAAGCTTTACCCACAAAACCAACATTTAAATTGTATCCAAGATCCTAGTATTTCCAAAAATATCAAATACTTCATCTGGTATGTTTGACAGCTGGAGTTTTCCATTTTCTATAATGGTGCATTCTTAGGAAATTAGAGTTTGAATATTAAAATCTTGACACACTGCAGCTTCACTTAAGTGTTGGAAGAATCTGGGGATCAACGGCTTAAAGATTCACAAAAGAGAAATCTTATGAGCTGCTTTTTATCCCAAGGTATTCAGTATAAATACATGTTATGCATCTTAGCTAAGTGCCATAAGTGATGAGCTTACCATCGTCTTATGGTGCTTTCAGACCAAAAGCGAAGCGAGCGTTTACATACAAAGTCAATGCAATGACGCGTAGAGCCGCGATTTCCTGTCGGGCGGTTCGAAGGGGGCGTGGCCGGCGGCGCGATGGCAACGCAAAGGAATTCTCGTGGGAGAAAGTCGCATGACCCTGAGTCGCAATAGCCTATCAGTGTTGGGATTGTCTGTACGTCACCGATGGATTCAGAGCGATGTGCGGACAGGGCAGAGCGGCGGAGTGAAAATCTGCTGGCCGGCTGAGAGCTGCAAAATTTGGGAGAGAGGAGCAGGGAGCAGCGCTACAACCTTTGGACAAATAAACACCCGTAGTGGAACTGGATTCTGCTCTGACAACTACGTTGTTTACTCGCGGGAGGAGCTCGGAGTTAACTGCTTTTATTAAATTAGCTTTTTACTTAAGTTTTTGGGATTACAACGTTGATCATTTTCGCTGGAGCTTCTCAGCAGCTAGTTTCCATGCACATCCGGTTCCAGTGTTGTTGTTAGCGTCGTTAGCTCTGTTGGACTATGACTTCATATTTACAGTATATAAAAACTGGACAAAACTGGACATTACTTGGAGAAAAGAAAGCGAGGAGGTTGAACTACCCGGTGAGTTCAGAAAACATGTGTCTCTAACTTTATTCCAGCTATAATTGTCCTGATCGATCCAAACTCCATTTAGAAAACAAACATTTTAGAAGTTGTTGTCCTGCTGTCTTGCTGACAGACCTGACAAAGCATGAATTCATATGTTTAACAAATCTGCATCATGTTGTAATTATTTCGGCATCAGTTTAATCTGTTTATTGCTATTTAATTACAGCAAAATGTTTACTTTGGGTTCATACAGCTGTAGTAATGGCAAGCTGTGTTTATTCATGTTATCGTGTTAAAATCGCCTTCTCGCGTTGTGTGTGAACACTTACAGCGATTGTACTCACGCGAGGAAAGCGTCGCGAGGAGAAAATTTGGTTTGGTCTGAATGCTGCATAACAGATGTAGTCGTAGTTAGAGACTTACCATCACCCTCAGGGGGAACATGAGTGTCCATGGTCGGTGTGGGCTTGGAGCCATCATCTGGGTTGAGGGTGAGAAAGAAACGGAAAGAGACTACCATTATTGAGGTTAATACAATCTACTCTCCAGAACTGTTGAATGGTTGGGATTTGCACATGGCCCGGCCAAGACAGATAGAAAAAAAACAGACAGATAGACAGATTGAATAATAGAGGACGATCATCCACATGTGGCTCACTCACATACACATCAAGAAATCCTCACACTGACATTCTCACACCAACATGACCAGTCTGCACATTTAGCACATTCTCTCACAATCATATTGTAAACCAAACACACATTCACATACATACTCTCACATAAGGCGCCCCACCCACCCATCAGGACCCGCATGAGTGCAGTGCAGGTGGAGGATATGTGGACAGGGACAGAAAGGCCCACTCACAACCAATCCTGAGGTGAAGGGACCTCTGAACAAATGGGGGGCGTGAACTTTGTCATTCTTGATAAATAAGACCATATTTGTCCCACTATTGATGCCGATGTCGGTATGGTCAGTAGGTCGATTGATTGGTCCACCCAAAACGCAGGTCCAGTGTGTGATCTCAATAAGTAGCCAGACTGCACTGAAATTTGGCAATGATAGTGATGGTTCCCTGAGCATAATTTCAAATGAGTTTAGTGATGGTCTGACCATAATTCAGATTAATAATTGACTCACGCCTTGATCCCCGAGAAGGATATCTCAAAAACTCAAATTTTCCTGAAATTTATTGTGGATATTCATGACATTCAAAATAAAATATTGGTTGTCCCCTTGATTTTTTTCTCTAGTACCACAATCATGCCCAAATTTTATTTGTACTCAATGTTTAATTGTATAGTACAAATATAAAAACAGTGGAAAAAAACACTTCATGATTTAAAGACCCTGTGGCCTTTCCTGTAACATCAGCCTAGAACATGCAGCACTGGATAAATAATGGCTTCTAACAAGTGTTCTAGTAGTACTTTTTAATACTGTGTTTCTTGGTTGGATTTGGCCACATGCGAACCACATGACATACTAATCATATTGTATAACACGATCATTCTAACTCCATATTTAGACTCTAAATCCCAATTAAATTTTGTGAAAACTCTTCAAAATTTGGGTTTCTTGGCTCCCAAGCTGCAGGCTGAATAAACTGTCTTTCTTTCATCCTCAGTTTTCTTAAACATAGTCTGCCTTAGGGAAAAAAACATCAGAATTTGATCATTAAGTATTTCAAATGAAGTTTTAGTTACAGACACACATTTTCTGAACTCACCAGGTAGTTCAACTTCCTCGCTTTCTTTTCTCGAAGTAATGTCCAGTTTTGATATAAATATGAAGTAGTAGTCCAGCAGAACTCTGGTGCCATCCGACGCTAACAACAACAGTGAAACCGGATATCACGGAAGCTAGCTGCCGAGAAGCGCGAGTGAAAATAAATAAAGTTGTAATTCCAAAAACTAAAGTTTAATAAAAGCAGTTAACTCTGAGCTCCTCCCGCGGGTAAACGGCGTAGTTGTCAGAGCATAATCCAGACCGACTATGGGTGTTTATTTGTCCGAAAGCTGCAGTGCTGCTCCCCATACACTTCCCCGTTCTTTAGCAGCTCCCCGTGGATTACCAGCGGATTGTCATTACACTGCTCGCCAGGTCCTCTCCAAACAACGCTACGAAGCCAATGGTGACGTTTGGACAATGTCACCGCTGATTGGCTTTCGCAACATCATGTCAAGTGAATTTCTCGCCCAAGTTGAAAAGTTTGAACTCGCACGAACCAGCGAACTTCGCGACAAACGCCTCATTCGCGTCGCCCGGGGCGAATTCGGTGTGAACACACTTTAAGACATTAATGAGTTTTAATGGATCTTAGATAATGCTGTGAATTCAGCTACCCAGAATACTCACCCATGTGCAGTTTTGTAGCATCTGGAACTCTCCTTAGGAAATAATTCAATCAAAAGCAAACCACAGAGAACTGGAGTCATTCTACAAACACTAAAGTCCTTAAGTCAGATGACTTGTCAGAACATTTTAACACTTGAGGTCAAACTGACCTGATCCGGTCAAACTGTAAATAAAATACAAGAGTTATGAGGTTAATCTAAGATGAGAGAAGTGCAAACCTGGGTCAAACAACCTCCTGCAGATATTCTACAGATTTGTGTAAAACACACTGGTGATGCATGCTGAGCATGTTGAAACAAATTCTGTAACTTACAGTATCTGTCAGTAACTGTTTGATCCAGGTCTGGACTGTGTGCTACAAACTGTGAGGGGAAAAAGACAATTAATGTAAGCATCAACAGCAAACCTTTACCTCGACTATCACCTGCCCTCCCAACTGCTATGTCCTCCACAACGACTCTATACGGTGTAAAAACATCCTCTGGGAAACAACTAAATGGCTTTACAATAGAAAAAAGTTGAGAGGCTGCCCATTTTTTCTCAGTTTAAAGGAAGCCTTGTTCTGTACATATATTTTCAGTGAGATTTCTGAAGTAGAGCAGCTGTTTGTCTGATATATCAAGCAGACCCAGGCAAGAAATATTTGCATTACCACTTCAGTTTTCCTTGAATTTAATTAATTACTTTAAAGGAAACTAGAGGAAAACTGTGAAACTACAGTACCATTTGGTATATTTTATTTTATTTCAATATGGAGAAAGACATAACTGGAGCAAACCCAGTGAAGTGTTTGTAGTGTGTCCATCATTCGGCATACAGCACTGTCACTGATGCTTTTACCTAAAGATATATCTGAGGATTAGTTATACCATAGTGTCTGTGTCTAAGATCCTATATCCTAATTTGAATAGCTCAGAATCATGCTAACATGCTAAAGAGAAAAGAAGCTAGTTTTAAGATGTATTCTTTAACTATAAAGACAATTTTCATCCAAATCCCCTCAAAATTAGTGAAGTGAAACATCAACCATGTAACTTTCTGCTCTGCACAAATATGGACTTTGCACAGATCAGATGGAACAAAATGAGGTCAAAAGACATTTTGTCACTTGTGCTCTCTGTCTGTCTCTTTCATACAAATAGAAACACTCACACTCATGCACACACAACTTACAACAGATCTCAACTCACCTTTTCTACCAGAGATCGGTGCCCCAGGTGGTTTATCGGTTACTGACCCTGTGAAGAAAGAAAAAAAACGCAACATGTACAAACCAAAGACTGGACAGCAGAAAAAATTTCTCCGGAACATTAAGTAATTTCACTCGAAAATGCCATTTTAGAAACCAGTAAATTGCTAAAAATTCACCACCTTACTGTAAATAAATTATTTTGCAAGAGCTTTGGTCACTTAATAGCTATCTTATGATTTGGAACAATTTCATTGTTCCAGCAGGCCAAAAGAAAAACATCACTCCCACAGATTACCCAACCCTCTGACGTCTTGACTTAAGAGTTAGATACAAAGATTTATCAGCGTTTGAGTACATCCTGTTAGTACTTGATAGCAGGCACATATTGAAACAATAGGCTTGTTGCATTATCTTTAGGCTGACTAATGCAAACCTGAGTGATCTGCACCATCTGTGAAAAATTATTATCAAAATAGTTGTGCGTTTCCAAATATCATTCTCTTTGGTGCATGCGGGTTGTTGGTTTCATGCATGGTTGCACGGAGGAAAAGGCCACAATTAGACAGTACAACGAATTACAACAGTAGGGCAAAGGGGAGACATTTTGAGTGAAGGTAACTGGAAGGAAATTTACTACCTGACAATCCACTTGTCCCAGCATGAGTTCCCATAAATTCACGGAAGTTTCCTGCAAATGTATGATTGATTTGGGTCATAGTGTAGAGGGGCGTCTGAGCATGTCAATAAAGGTTATTTGCTTATCAGCTGAGAGGGTAGGGAACTTAAGGGAAGGAAAGTTGGGCATGTACGACTGTAGTAGCTGTATACAGTACCAGGTTTATTGTTCCCAGATTCTGGTTCCAGTGTCATACATACCTTTGCAAGAAACAATGAAGATATTGGATCTTATGCAGGGCAGGACAGGTAGAGATTGTGTTGTGCCCTAAACTACAGTTGAGGATTTAGTAAAGGCTTTATTTAAATCTTGACATCTTAAAAGTTCCATTGAGGGCTGCAACTAATCATTACTTTCCTTATTGATTATGTTGTCGATTAGTAGACTTTTCCCTTAGTTATCACAACTTTGCAGGGCCCAAAGTGACGTCTTCAGATTTGTCCGAACAATGGTCCAAATCCCAAAGACTCACTATCATATATGACAAAGAAAAGCTGAAAATCCCCAAACGATTAGTTGATTATCAAAATTGCTAACAGCCAATGCTGATAAATTTTCTTTCAGTCAACCAGTTGACTAATGTTTGCAATTCTATTTTAGAGCAAACAGAGTAATTCAAATCCACTGTCTTCATGGACTCTTAATGTCTTAACGTCTTAATTAATATGTGGCCGCCCCATGATTATAACATTTTTCTTTCCCTGCATAATAATAATTAGAATAAGAATAATGATGGAGCATAGTACAGTGTGCGCACAAGAGATTCAGCATGGTTTGCAGTCAGGTGTAAGACAGGAGTAGATTGTAAAAAACGTGAATGAGTTGTGTTAACTTGCTGTTCACATAGCAAAAGTGAAGTAGTGACTCTCAATTTCCAGCAACACTTATTTTGTGTGGACACACAAATACATATGCTGTGCCACTTTCTGTTGTGACTTAAAACTTTCACTTTCTTTTTTTTTGTCAGATTTTGAAAAATCTGTGAAAAATATAATTAACAAGCTGCCTGGCTGTTTTCCCCAAATACCTGAACACACCTGGGTCCTGTTGTTCACAGAAGGGTAATTCTCTAGCTGCGCAGTGATTTGTTTTCTGCTGCAGAAATAATAATAACAAAAATTCTACCACACCTTCACTTCACGGTTTATGAACTGTACTCCATTTGTGAAATTTACTGATTCTATTGAAAGGACTGAAACACAGTAGGTGCCATGGAAAACCATACAGGTGATTAGTGTCACAAGTGAGAAATGCAGATTTAAAACAAAGAAAGCACAGAAGATTGAGGCGGAGAGAGAGATAAAGAAATTGAGAGAGAGAGCGGGAAGGTTTGGGTCTGTTGAGCAGCTTCAGAGGTGCATGCGTCCACTCTCACCACACTCCACACAAAATTTGCACCATATGCTCTAGTGACTGTGCAGTCCAATTCTGCCAAATACCCCTGTGTATTATCTTCTGAGGGAAAATGATGGTGATTATCATAAAGTGTTCCCATCCAGGATGAGTGTGGAGAGCCGCTCTCTCTCTCTCCTCTGGCTTGCTGAGAGCAGTTAGACAAGGGGGAGGGCTGTGAGGCCCCTGGATGTATGGCCATTAGCCTTCTCGTTGACCTTGCACCTGCTATACGCTACATGACATGTAATACACATGTGCCCATAGTATGGCATGACAGAATCTATTTAACTGCAACCAAAAGGCTGTGTTCACTCTAACCTTCATCAGCGCAGCCGGGCTTCCTAAAAGTCAACTATAGGGTCAGTTTACTGATAATTTACTCAATTTAAGTTCTACCTAAGGAATGCAGCTGCCAGTATTCTAATATAATGTTTCAATTCTCAATGTTTCCATTGATAAGGAACTGAAGCCTATGAATAAGAACTATTGCTAGTTGCTTTTAATGATAATAAAAAAAAATCTAATTCCGATACCTAAAGTTAATTGGCCCAAACCACAGAGACTTGGCTTCCATTCACTCTTGGCTCCAAGATCCTACAAATGCTGCTTCTCCACCCTAATAAAGAATTGTCGGGAAACCTCTTACCCTTCTACTTTTAGTCATACAACCTGTTAAACATTACTCTGAAGTAGAGCTGCTCTGGTTGCACAAAAACAGACTCTAATCACTAATGTGCATAGTACTAAGGCAGGACAGATGCAAGCTGTGTTGGCAGCAGAGTCTTTCACGCTAGAAACCTCGTACAGGACAAACGTTTTAAGATTCTTTTGAAAAACACCGAACATTTCATCCACAGGTTGCCAGGCTGGTTTCCCCCCAGTACCTGAACACACCGGGGTCCTGTTGTGTACAGAAGAGCCACTCACTGGCTTGCCGTCACTGGTGACACACCAGCAGTAACCTGTTGGAGTATGGCATTGGACCTGCAAAGGCATAAAGGTAAATCACACCAAAAAATGACAATAACTTTGTAATATACATCATTTGGTTCAGTGTATTGTGAGTGTAAATACAGCATAAGGCCAAGAGTACATTTACACAATACAATATCTGTCAGTGAAGTGAAACTGATCCCTTGTGTGACGAAAAGGACATGGTTCATAGTAAAAAAGAAACATAAGATGAAGAGGAAAAACATGAAGAAAAAGAAATCTGTGGAGACCGACCTGGGCAAATGTTCCATCATCATTGCATTCTGGGATAAACATGGACTCTTGAGGTCTCCTGGCTTCTTCCAAAGCCTGGTTCCTCTCAACACGACACTTGGACTGACCTGCATCTGTAACAGATTGACAGGACAGTCTGCTCTTATACACTGCAAACATACCTCCCACACTACTTTTTTTTTTACTGAAGACGCATGTTTTTTGTCAGCAACACCCTGTTCACACCTGGGAGCTGACCAGTAGAACTACAGTTTACTACTGTTGGCTGCTGACTGCGTCTGACATTTAAGTGCCTTCCTTAAGGACATCTTTTTCATAGATGCACAGGGAAAACATTTTCTGCACTGTTTCTTTCCAATCAGCCATTTTTTCAACCTTGGAGTTACTACTGCTGTTTTTCTTTCCTGTTGACAAGCAGCCTTTAACACGTTTTTAGCACAGGACAAGCTGCAGTGATGGTTGTTCTCAATTCTGAAAAAAAATATTTCAAAAACCTTTTGCACTGCAGAGACATCAAGCCCAAGTCAGACATTTTATTACACCATTCAAAAAATGCTAACACAACACATTCCTCAACACTGACCATTACCATTGCCAGAAGTAGACTATGAGCACCACATTGTTAGTGCTGAGGAGTGCGTCATGTACTCAACACTGATATTTTGAAATGTGGAATGGAAACTGAGCTTAGACCTGCTCTCAGGGGACAGAGATGGAAGTGACTGAAAGGTCAGAGAATGAAGTGGGCTCCACACCACGTAGTCCACTGGTTCAAGATCCCATCAGAAACTACTGTTTTTATTGCACTCAGCTCATGTGGAGTTGAGCTTCATGTTCAACTATTCGTGTGTACACGTTCACACCAGGGAGCTGACCAGCGCGACCGCAGTCCTCCACTTTTGGCAAACATTCTCCCTGGATAAACAAAAGTCGTCTCTGGACCTGAGAGGAGACAGACATGTTGTCTCCTGCAGAGTAAAAGACTGACAGAGCCAGAATTGGATGATGATGTCAGCGAGAAGGACAGACATGGTTACATGAATTTATAAACGTGGAATATATTTAGTCTTACTTTAGAAATAGGACTCATTAAACATTGTAGTTCTCGTGTGTCATACTGAAGACCTCAAGTCTGATTTAAACGTAAAAACAACTTCATGATCAGAGGCAGTTAGCAGTTTGTTCATCATGTCTTGTTTCATGATGGTCTGTTCTTGTTAGCACTAGGCAGCTATAAATGCAAAGGCTTGTTTCTGTATTTTATTTATTTTGTAAGGCAATGAGGTACTGTTGCAAGAATGTACACTCGCCATTTACAAATGCAGGTTTTGCGTTTGATTGACTGCAAAACCCCTTTTAAACACCCTGGCTGAAGAAAGATTCACTTTATCATCTTCATTTAGGAGATTTTGAATAATGAGCTTGTCCATGGTGTGTTGATCCTGCCCATGTTGTTTATTCACAGCTAAATAATGTTCTGCCTGTTGAAATAGCCATAGTTATGTGTTTGTTGTTGTTTGTGGTTGTTTGTTGTACCTGTTAGCAATTTATATGTCTTGTAGTCCAGTGTATCTGTTTATCTGTGTTTAATCTCAATCTCACGCACCTAAATAAGCCTTCGCCAGACCATTGTAAACAAGGATTGGTTCATGAACTGCCTGCTTAAATAAAGCAGCAGTTTCATTACAACAAAACAGGCCTGCCGCATCTGCAAGGACTGTGAGAGCTTTACCCAGCTTTCCTTTTTTTTGGCACACCACTGATATTATGAAACAAAACCACGTATTACCATACAGAGGGAACAAAAATCTCTCCAAAAATGGATTTGGTTGGGACTGCTGTTTTCCTAATGGACAGTGGGGCTGAAAAAAAGGGTGGGGTGGGGTGGGTGGGGGAGGAGGGGGAATGCCAAGTCCCAACCTTGACTCTAGACCTATCAATCTCTGCTGTTGTTGAGTGGCTGGCATCCAAAAACTGAGGAAGTGTGTGATCTGGTCTGTAAAAACTTACACGCTTACAGAAAGGCGGAAAATGAAAGACATCTTTTCATTCAGCTCCACTTTTCCCAAACTGTCTGGTGTTCACTTTGGGTGCGACATCTTAAACATGCTTGGTAAGTCTCAAGTAAAGTCAATTATTTTGCTTTCTACAGTATGTTTACAACATATAGTCTCCAAGGGAAGATTAGGTTACAATTGGGTACAAAATTATTCTAGCATTTTAGGTGAAAATTTAGCGCTGGCTTTGAAACCTGGCAACACAGAACTATCTACCATTTGAGCCTTTCTCATTAAAATCCCTTATTTGTAGGACTGTTGATGAAATTCAGAGGGGATCACTGTCTGAGGTTTCCTGGTCCTTACCTTTGAGCTCCAGGTCGCTCCCCTCAGATGTGGAAGTTGGTGCTGAAGCCACCGGCAACTGATCAATTTTCCCCCAGTTTTTACCTGACAAAAGGGTGAAAGCGCTGTTTAATTTACTAAACCTTAATGAAGAATTATTGCTGTCTGTGTCCACTGATGATTGTTAAATACATGAAATATAATGTACTTGATATTTTAGACAAGACAAAAAAGTCACACACAGAGATCATACTTCAGGCCATTAACATGTCGTTTGTATACCTAACAGTACTGTCGATGTTGTTTTTGTATGGAGTGTCAAAAAGTACGAGTAGGATGGTACTTGATTCATGCACGGATGTTTCAGGCAGATGTCTTCAGCATGGCAACAGTGGCGATTATATTGAATATCATACCACATGTTTTTTGCCAGTGAGCAAGTGACAGTGAGACAAACATTTGTCTACCGTCAGAGACTTTAGCATATCGTTTATGCCATGTAGCTATCCCTTTAATAACTCTGGATGTATTGTATGGACCATTTTAAGTGAGCATGAGTGCTTTAATGGTAATAGTGTTTCTTTATATGATTGATGCATGAATGTAATGATGTGCTATGACCATCATTTCATTTGCTGGATTAGCCAATTGATTCTCCAGAAAATGTATTATCACAATGATATTGTGATACAAAATTATACACTGCTCAAAAAAATAAAGGGAACACTAAAATAACACATCCTAGATCTGAATGAATGAAATAATCTCATTAAATACTCCTTTCTTTACATAGTTGAATGTGTTGACGACAAAATCCCACAAAAATTATCAATGGAAATCAAATTTATCAACCCATGGAGGTCTGGATTTGGAGTCACACTCAAAATCAAAGTGGAAAACCACACTACAGGCCGATCCAACTTTGATGTAATGTCCTTAAAACAAGTCAAAATGAGGCTCAGTAGTGTGTGTGGCCTCCACGTGCCTGTATGACCTCCCTACAACACGGCATGCTCCTGATGAGGTGGCGGATGGTCTCCTGAGGGATCTCCTCCCAGACCTGGACTAAAGCATCCCTCCCAGACCTGGACTAAAGCATCCGCCAACTCCTGGACTGTCTGTGGTGCAACGTGACGTTGGTGGATGGAGCGAGACATGATGTCCCAGATGTGCTCAGTTGGATTCAGGTCTGGGGAACGGGCAGGCCAGTCCATAGCAATCAATGTCTTCCTCTTGCAGGAACTGCTGACCCACATGAGGTCTAGCATTGTCTTGCGTTAGGAGGAACCCAGGGCCAACCGCACCAGCATATGGTCTCACAAGGGGTCTGAGGATCTCATCTCGGTACTTAATGGCAGTCAGGCTGCCTCTGGCGAGCACATGGAGGGCTGTGCGGCCCCCCAAAGAAATGCCACCCCACACCATTACTGACCCACCTCCAAACCGGTCATGCTGGAGGATGTTGCAGGCAGCAGAACGTTCTCCACGGCGTCTCCAGACTCTGTCACGTCTGTCACATGTGCTCAGTGTGAACCTGCTTTCATCTGTGAAGAGCACAGGAAGCCAGTGGCGAATTTGCCAATCTTGGTGTTCTCTGGCAAATGCCCAAACATCCTGCACGGTGTTGGGCTGAAAGCACAACCCCCACCTGTGGACGTTGGGCCCTCATACCACCCTCATGGAGTCTGTTTCTGACCGTTTGAGCAGACACATGCACATTTGTGGCCTGCTGGAGGTCATTTTGCAGGGCTCTGGCAGTGCTCCTCCTGCTCCTCCTTGCACAAAGGCGGAGGTAGCGGTCCTGGTTGTTGCCCTCCTACGGCCTCCTCCACGTCTCCTCATGTATTGGCCTGTCTCCTGGTAGTGCCTCCATGCTCTGGACACTAAGCTGACAGACACAGCAAACCTTCTTGCCACAGCTCGCATTGATGTGCCATCCTGGATGAGCTGCACTACCTGAGCCACTTGTGTGGGTTGTAGACTCTGTCTCATGCTACCACTAGAGTGAAAGCACCGCCGGCATTCAAAAGTGACCAAAACATCAGCCAGGAAGCATAGGAACTGAGAAGTGGTCTGTGGTCACCACCTGCAGAACCACTCCTTTATTGGGGGTGTCTTGCTAATTGCCTATAATTTCCCCCTGTTGTCTTTTCCATTTGCAAAACAGCATGTGAAATTGATTGTCAATCAGTGTTGCTTCCTAAGTGGACAGTTTGATTTCACAGGAGTGTGATTGGAGTTACATTGTGTCGTTTAAGTGTTGTCCTTTATTTTTTGGAGCAGTGTATATACCATGATAAAGTATTTAATCCATATCGTTTACCCCTACTTGGAAGCATCTTTTCCACACTTTTCAGTATGTTGTGAAAATGTAACGACTAGATGATCTGTTTATCCCTCAAAGTTATATTACTGTCAAGCAGTAATGTAGTTGTAAGCATAGACTATTTAGAAAACCCATGTTGGTGAATTCATGGAAACGCCAACGTATAAGACTTCCAGTGCCAGCTGCTAACAAGATTGTGTGGAAATACAACAAAGAACGTGCAAACATGCACATCATGAACATTTAACGTGAATGCAATAGTTTCTTGCATTCAAAAAGTGCCAGATGAGTCTGAAATCTGAGTTTCTGTGAAAGCACCGTGAGAGAGTCCTCATTGCAAAAAAGGTTTTAAGTGTATTCAGGAAGATTTTCGTAGCATACATCGAGTGTAACTGAGTTCAGTTCTCACCTCGACACCGGCCACGGTATGCCAATGTCAGTGTTTTGTCCTTGCAGCGCGCCCTCTGCAGTTCACAGCCGGTGTCATAGCTCCGCCCGTCCGAGCCACACACCGGCTTCCCCTGCGTCCGTGAGCAGATGACCCCACAGTGACTGTCTCTGTCTCCGATCAGCCACTGCAATGAGCAAAACAGCAACATGTTGGCATAGTGCAATACATTAACATTTTTTTACTCAATTCAGGTTTCACATAACACGACAGATACATCCTAAGATTACTGAACTTGTAGCGTTTTTTATTTCATTTTTGGTCCTTTTCCTTCTTTCTAGTTTCACTGTGTTTTAACAAAGGCTGCATTCAGCTGAATCTGAGATTATGCCAAACTAACCTACAAATTGGACTCATAGGTCACTTGCCCATTTTGCTCAAAACATTTCTTTGTTTCTCAAGCTCTCGTCAGCCGGTGCCTTTCTTTGTTTAGGCTACTGTAGCGAGGATGTGAGCAGCTCTGCACTGAAGCGCAACCTAGAGGTTAATTTTTCTAATTGATTTTTGGCTGAAGACAGGTTAAAACTTGATTAAGTTTCAAAGAAGCCAAATCTCATTCACAGTAATGGGACATTGGGATTCTTTCCTCCTCCATTCCCCAGATCTTTACTCATGATATATTAGTCAGTCAATTCTACTCTATAGTTGGAAAATGGCCTTCTCTCTGACAGCAGTAATGGTTCTTGGCTTTGGAGCTGCCTAACATATATTTGAAGTCTAAAGGAATTTGGGGGAGCACAAACTTTGCCAAAAAGATGGTGGGTTGAGAGCGTTAGAGTAGGTGTGTGTTGAGCAGCACCAGAATCCTTTGCTGTGAACAGTGGCCCAGCAGCGTACCTGAGCCAACTGTTGTTGAAAATGTTTCAAGTATTTGAAAAAAACACAAGGAGCTCTTGATTTCCCTTATCTCGCAAGTGATGAGTAAACTTTGTGGGTGCTCAAACACCTGTTTCGTAAAAAAGACAAAAAAAGAGAAAATCAAGCAATTCCCAAGTAGGAAACTGCATGTGAAAACCTTTCTCCAATGCGTTTTTCACCCAAGGCCTCTCAAGCAATTACCATTATGTCCGTTAGTGTTCTGAATCTGACACAGGAGATCTCATTAAGGGCAGGTACGGGGGCAAGAAGGTGGTGGAAAATAAGACGCAGCCAGAAGGAAAAGGCACAGTTTCCACCCTTCACTTGCCAAATCCTATCAGACGATCTGAGGCAGTATGATCCACAGTTGCATGTACACAAGGACAATTTCTCTGACTCTTTCCTCATCCCAAATGCTTGACTCAAAAAAGCTGTATTTTGAACATCAAAAATGTTGCTTGGAGACAGATTTTTTCCAAACTTATAAAGAGCAATCAGACAGACCTGAACAAAGTGTAGATGGTAACAAAGCCAAACCACTGATGTCATGAATGGTGTACAACTGGATCTCATATTCGAATGAATCACCAGGACTTTTCATTGAACATGCTCTAAACAGATTAACTGCATGGCAATCTCTTTTTTTCCTCTGTGAGTGCAATACCGTACATCCATATGTGCCTTTGTGTTGTCATTATTATTATTATTATTAACTAGTCAGACTGCTCTGCTCCAAAAACTGTCACCATCATTCTGTTTTAATTCTTTGACATTCCACCTTATAACGACATACATACATCGTACTTTAATTATCTGTCAGTGACACTACTTTCCTGGACAATTTGACTTTCATAGATCAGTGGACACTAATCACACTACAGTCCAGCTTCCAGCTCTGTGAGCCGGCTGTTTGAACTGAATGCTAATGTCAGCATGCTAAAATGCTCACAGTGACAATGCTAACATGCAGATGTTTAGCACTTGTAATGTTTACCATGTTCACCATCTTAGTGTGTTAGCATGCTAACATTTGCTATAATTAGCACTAAACGCAAAGTACAGCTGTGGGTGATGGGAATGTTGTTAGCTTTGCAGGTATTCAGTATTGGACTAAATGAAATTTGAACCTCATGGTGGCTAGATGGAAAATCAGGCAATCACCAAAGGCATTATAATTCAACCACTGGGAACCATGAAAGTCTAAACAACATTTTGTGCCAATACATCCAATATCTGTTTCAGTCTGGACTAAAGTAGTGGACAGACCGAGCATCCCTAGAGCCACATTGCTAAAAATACACTCAGCCATCGTGGCAGCGTACTCATACTACTTGAATTTTATACTCTTTGTCATTTTCTGGCTAATATCTCTCTCTCTCTGGAAATAACACAGGAGTTTAAACTTGTTTCAGCACGAATAACAAATCCAATATGTGGTAAGGAAAATGAGACGCAGGTCAGAAAATAATCTATTTTCAGTCCTTTGTGGGTTTTTTACTTTACCGATACCAGAGAGCATCTGTCATCGCTGACAGTTATGAACATTAATTTCTAAATCCCAGTAATTAAATTAAAAGATGAAAATGTGAAAAATCTGCCAGCTGGTGAGCTAACATCACCAGATTAACTGTCTTTTTAGGACTTTGTTTGGATCATTTTCATCATATGAAGGCAACAGCCTCTTTCTGGTTTGAACATTGTTACTGAAACAAATGAGACCTCATTGCAATTATTTCCCCCCACACGAAGGATACAGTAACTTATCTATCCTTGAAAATCAAAATCTTTACAACTAAATATAACATTAGGTAGACAACATTAGGTTTTTTTTTTTGCAGTGGAGAAATTATCATGGTAATTATCACGGCTGTCGCAGCTGTCAGCACAGGCAGATACTACATTATCTGTAGAGAGCAAAGAGAGAGATTAGACTTTTCCTAAAATAGAAAAAGATACTGGAGCTTCAGTATCCGTCAGATAAAATCAGGAGGTGACATAACATGGTAACATGGTGGTCCAGAGTTTAAGAAAGTGTCCTAAAACTGGAGAGTCACAGGTTTAATCCCCACATAAAACAAAGTATCTGTTAAAATATCCAGGTTCTGAGCACAAAGCGACTCTTTTGGCTGTTTTAAAGTTCAATGTTAAATGCAAATACAAAAGACCCTTCGTATAACAAAGTGAATTTAAAGGATACAATGGAACATAAATCCAACTTGCCTTGCCATAACAATATGTCCAAAACAAGTCAGACAGTTTAATGTGATTTCAGCCTTGGCACTGATGCATGGTAGAAAATCTCTTTACAGACAGCTCAGAGTAAAACTAAATCATGATGCGCCTCTTTATGAGAAAGTGCAGACAGGGAGGAAAATATAGAACATCATTTCGTTTTTAACTTGCATGTCCTCTTCTTGGCTTCGCTGAAGGACAGGAATACTTCAGTAGTTGGAATAAAAAGCATGTATCTGCATTGTATCTGTGGCTAGTTTCTTATTTATTTCATTATACAGGTAGTGTAGATAACCACCATTTTAACTTTCTGTTTAAGTATAAGAATAGAAGAAAGGAGTTACAGGTTTCTTCCACAGCAGAGGTGGCTAAAAGGAGAGGACAAGACTGAGACAAAGTACTGTGGCTGGAAAGCAGTTTGTCTATGTGATGAATTGTAAAATCCTTAAACGACTATCCAAAAATAAATCTAAAAAAGTGATTTAGGTTTACCCAGCCACTCCTCAGCTGTAGGCAGAGTCTGTCTGGCCTCTGCCCACAGACTGACCCGTCCTCCCCATCCCTGACTCACAACCATAATGGATGTAGCCCCTCTGCCACTGTCATAATAAAGCATTAAATCACAGATTTTGAGACGGCATTGTCCGGTAAGTGGAAATAAACACTCCTACCAAGACTCCCACATGTAGTAATTTCTTACTCACACTGTCCCACCCACAGACTCGTCTCCTGTAAAGGTGTAACCAGAGACTCCAGCAGATCAGAACAACGTTCTCAATTTATGATTGGGAGTTCTTTCACTTCAGTTGAAGATTATAAAAATGGAAAATACTCCTACTCATTAGTCATTTACACTGATGTGTACATGTAAAAGCATTTGAATTGGTTAAAGCAAGTTATTATTCAATACAAGTAACTTTGCTGAAGGTTTGCTTGAAATAAAACTCAGCATGCATTAGAGTTAAAGGTTACACTTTCACAAAGAGCACTGCTGTGTTTGATCAAACAACACACACACAAAAAGTACAAGAGAATTTATATCAGATATACTCAGAAAAAAACAAAAACAAGAGGTTTTACTTTAGGGAATAAAATTGATACTTCTCTCATATCTGCCTGTTTAATATGAAGCTGGAGCCAGCAGCCCCCTTAACTTAGCTTAGCATAAATAATGAGGGGAGGATAGATAGCCCAGCTCTGTCCAAAGGTAATAAAGTCCACCTATCTGAACATCTTAAGCTCACTGATTATCAAATTATATCACTGTTGTTTAACCCATACAAAAACCAAAGTGTAAAAACGAAAACTTGCAGTTTTACAGGGAGTTATGTGATGGGCTATTTTGTAGGGGAAAAAAACACAACTTGTTTTTACACTTTTACTTTTTCTAAGGATTAAACAAAAAGTATATAAAGTTTTTAATTAGTGAGCTTATGAGGTCCTTGTAAACAAATGTTTTCACCTTTGGACAGAGCCATGCTAGTGGTTTCCCCCTGTTTCCAGTGTTTATGCTAAGATAAGTGGCTGCTGGCTGTAGCTTCATATTTATTAAACAATTACGAAAGTTGTATTGATCTTCTCATCTAAGTCTCATCTGTGAAGAAAGCAGATAAGTAGATTTCCCAAAATGTCAAACTATTCCTGCTAATGGCAATTGGACAGTTATTGATGAAATCCTTATGAGGAGCTGTGTAATGTACTGTCCAGAATGTAATTTACAATAACTATTTGCATAATTTTCAAAACCCTACTTGTGCGTAGCCATACTTGCAAAAGAACTGTTTCAGATTAAAACAACCAAGGAAAAAACATCAAAATGAATGGAGAAAGAAAAAATCAAGCCTCCTGGCGAGAATATCAAATAGCAGACAGTAAACTAAACCCTATCTAATCTAATATGTTGACTCAGACTCTCTGCACTGTGTCCAAGTCACCTCTGAGGTCTGATCGAGTCTCAGCAGTTTCTACAAGACCACTGCTTTACATGATTTCCTCACTACAATAAATGTGCATGTGGTTTACATTTGAAAACTGCCA